CATAACTGAAGAACGGTAAAAGTGACGCTACCCAAATTTGAACTTGATCTGAGTTTTGTGGTAATAAGCATTGTGTGTAAGTCTCATAACATTTGGTTGAGGCTAACTTAAGTAGAGAACAGAGATTAAAAATTCAGCAATTTTTCTATTTGTAAACACGCATAACTCTAGAACGCTTGTGTATAAGTTTTATAACATTTGGTTGAGACAAACCAAAAGTTAGAGAACGGAAACAAAAAATTCAGCAATTTTTATGTTTATAAAGGGACATAACTCAAGAATGGCAAAAGTGTCACCACCAAATTTCGTACTTACTCTGTATTATGTAGTAATAGGCATTGTGTATAAGTTTCATAACATTTGGTTGAGGCAAACTCAAGTTAGAAAACGGAAACAAAAAATTTGTACTTGATCTTAGTTTTGTGGTAATGAATATTGTGTATAGGTTTCATAATGTTTGGTTGGGGAAAACTTAAGTTACAGACTGGAAACTAAAAATTTTGCAATCTTTCGATTTATAAAGGGGCATAACTCAATAATGGTTAAAGTGACACTACCCAAATTCAACTTGATCTGTGTTTTATCAGTGGAAGTCAAAATTAAACATTGCATTGTATAAAGCATTGATTGTAGTTGATTCAACTATAATCATGGACAAAGGAAGATAACTCCAATTTTTGTAAAAATTACTTGATATTTAGAAGAAAATAAAATTTGCAATTTTTCCATTTATAAAGGGGCATAACTCTAGAACGGTTAAAGTGACAACACCAAAATTTAAACTTGATATGTGTTTTGTGGTAATAAGCATTGTGTATAAGTTTCAAAACATTTGGTTGAGGCAAACTCAAGTTAGAGAAGAGAAACCAATTTCGGGACATACCTACGTACAGACGGACAAGGGTAAAACTTAATGCCCCAACCTCTACGGTGGGGGCATACTCAAGAGTACTTTTAATGTATTTTTGTTATTAATGCTATTTTCATTTGTCTATTATAATATCTGTCATGTTATATACTGTACAATGTCTCATGTTTGTTGCTTATACTATCATAACTGTTATTGCGAACCCAATGAAAGTTTTCCACAGTGCCATCTCTATCTTGACCAGGTATTTAACTTTTGTAAGTTCACCTGTCCTGTTGAATAAATACAATAGCTATTGTTCTCCATGAGATTTTTCACTGGGACCTTTAAATTTCTTCTAAGAGAAATCTATCACTCATTGATTAATTTACCTGAGTAAAAAAAAAATCTTGTAAATAGAGGAAAATAGATATAGGAAGATGGGGTATGAGTGCCAATGAGACAACTCTCCATTCAAGTTTTATACTCAAAACTGCATGTGATGTTATATTTATTCAATATTGATAATATATTTTCAATTGGTTGAATGTAAACAGTGATGCAAAGTTGAAAATTAATAAAATATAAAAAAGAAGATGTGGTATGATTGCCAATGAGACAACTCTCCACAAGAGACCAAATGACACAGAAATTAACAACTATAGGTCACCATACGGCCTTCAACAATGAGCAAAGCCCATACCGCACAGTCAGCTATAAAAGGCCCCGAAATGACAATGTAAAACAATTCAAACGAGAAAACTAACGGCCTAATTTATGTACAAAAAATGAACGAAAAACAAATATGTAACACATAAACAAACGACAACCACTGAATTACAGGCTCCTGACTTTGGACAGGCACATACAGAATGTGGCAGGGTTAAACATGTTAGCGTTGATTTATGTTATATTAATAATATATTAATAATATATTTTCATTCAGTTTAGTATAAACATTGATTCAATTATAAAAAGTTGATTTCTGACAAAACTTTTAACATTGTTCCTTTTAAAAAAAAATTGTTTGACATGAATAAAAACTTGAAAATTATGATATTCAAATTAAGATCTTCTTAAATGTATTCTATAACTAGACAAAATAAAATGCTCCGCAGGGCGCAGCTTGATTGCTTTTTGTTAAAATCAAACTAAGTTTAATTTTGGACCCTTTGGACCTTAATGTAGACCAATTTGAAAACGGAACCAAAAATTAAGAATCTAAATACACGGTTAGATTCGGCATATCAAAGAACCCCAATAATTCAATTTTTAATGAAATCAAACAAAGTTTAATTTTGGACCCTTTGGACCTCAATGTGGACCAATTTAAAAATGGGGCCCAAAATCCAAAAACTTAATACACGGTATGATTCAGCATATTAAAAAACCCCAAGAATTCAAGAATAAAACCCCATTGAAATTGGTCAAGAAATAAGCAATTTATACAAAGTATCTTCTTTTGCACAATACTGTGCAATTAAATATTTCTTGCTATTGCGCAATACTGTACAATTGACAATTTCTTGCTATTGCGCAATATTGTGCTATTGGATATTTCTTGCTATTGCGCAATACTGTGCAATTGAAGATTTCTTGCTATTGCGCAATACTGTGCAATTGAAAATTTCTTGCTATTGCACAATACTTATCATACAATAATTTACACATCCTGTTTGGTGTGTATCTCCTACCATATCATTATTATTTGCTTTTAAACATAAATCAGAAATAACCAACTTAAAATGGAAAATTTTAAAAGAAAAAAAAAAGGAAAAAAAGAAAAAAAAAAGGAAATGGTATGGTACCTTGCAGTACAATTTCAGAGAGATCCATACACTTGAACACAAGTTATTGTCTGGAAACTAGAAAAATGTGTTTTTTGGCCCCAAATTCCTAAACGTTTAGGGCAATTACCCCCAAACTCAAACCCAGCTTTCCCATTGTGATATGGAACCTTGTAGTACAATTTCAGAAAGATCCATACACTTACACACAAATTATTATCCTGAAACTAGAAAAATGCTTGTTTTTTGCCCCTTTTTGGCCCCTAATTCCTAAAATATTGAGGCAATTACCCCCATCATCAATCCCAGCCTTCCCTTTATGGTATGGTACCTTGCAGTACAATTTCAGAGAGATCCATACACTTGAACACAAGTTATTGTCTGGAAACTAGAAAAATGCTTGTTTTTGGCCCCCAATTCCTAAACTTTTCGGCAATTACCCCCAAACTCAATTCCAGCTTTCCCTTTGTGATATGGAACCTTGTAGTACAATTTCAGAAAGATCCATACACTTACAAGTTATTGTCATGAAACTAGAAAAATGCTTGTTTTTTGCCCCTTTATTCCTAACATTTTGAGGCAATTACCCCCAAAATCAATCCCAGCATTCCTTTTGTGATATGGAACCTTGTGGTTAATGTCAGAGAGATCCATACACTAACACACAAGTTATGTCTGGAAGTTACAAAAATGCTTATTTTTGGCCCCTTATTCCTTTACTGTTGGTACCATAACCCCCAAATCAATCCCAACCTTCCTTTTGTGGTAATGAACCTTGTGGTAAAATTTCATAGAGATCCATTCACTTAAACTAAAGTTAGAGTGCGAAAACCAATGCGTCTTCGGACGACGCCAACGTCATACCAATATACGACCACAAAAATTTTTTTGCGGTTGTATAAAAAAATCAAATTTCAATAGGAACATTGATAAAACTTTTGTTTGAAATCAACTTTTTATGATTGAATCAATGTTTATATTAAACTGAATGAAAATATATTATTAATATTGAATAAATACATCATCACACACAGTTAATGAGTATAAAAAAAGTATTTTTGTCTATATATGAATTTTTTTTTACTCAGGTAAATTAATCAATGAGTGATAGATTTCTCTAAGAAGAAATTTAAAGGTCCCAGTGAATAAACTACACAGAGAAAAATAGCTATTGTATTCATTCAATAGGACAGGTGAACTTACAAAAGTTTAAATACCTGGTCTAGAGATGGCACTGAGGAAAACTTTCATTGGGTTCGCAATAATTGTAAATGCCCCCTGTGGGACCCTGATTAGAATAATAAAATATTTGATTTGATTTGATTTGGTAATTGGTTTTAACTCCCAATGCTTAGTATCTTGTCAATATTAATATGTACATGTAGTTTGGCACTGGAAAATGTTATGTTTTTTTTCAGACTGTTTATGATGTCTTTACAGTAAATCTGTATACGTTATGGGTTTGTTCATTTTAGAAGGCTTTAAGGTGACCTATAATTGCGTAATACACATCATTTGGATTCTGTTGAATACATGCAGTTGTATATTTGCAATTTTAACACATGCTCCTTATTTCATATTACAAGTCCACAAGATTCCATTTGTTCCTGGAAAACTATATTTTCTTGTTCTTCTGACCTTGAGAAATATCAGTATTTTGAAACCTTCTATAGTGATAATTTTACATCAATTTTCATACCATCACAAATAGTTTAAGAGGAGTTATTGCAATCAATTATTTCCTTCTTTGGGCATCCCAACCTAAACTTTAACATACATTATTTTTACATCTCAAAAATACTTTTTTGTATTTTCTTTTATTTTCTAATATTTTTCCACCTTATATGTTTTATATACTTATTAAAGAACCTTTGTGAGCACGCTCACATACCCAACATTGTCAGTGGGCAAACACAATCTCACCCAATTCCTAAGCTCAAAGACTCAAAACTCCTACAAAAGTCAACTGATTAAATTGCTAGTGGATATGCACATCTACATATTATGTCTTTATTATCTACAAAGTTTCATGAAATTCTGTTGTGTGGTTTCAGAGGAGTTGCAATGACAAGAACAGAACTGACAGACGGGTCAAAAAACATTAAACCCTGAGGAACTTTGTTCCGTGGGGTATTATAAGGTCATCATTCCAAAAGAATGAAGGACCAGCAAAAGTATGCTTTCTGTCAGTCCTGTTAATGACAGTAAAATTAAGGTGGTTAAACTCTTGAGTATCCATATTCTTTGTGCTGACCATATTTCTTGGATATGAAACAACCCTTTTCTCATCATTTCTTTACTAATCTTAGGCATCCTCGGGTATCTTTTTCCTTGTTCAATTCTGGACATTTAACAAGACACTTAACTAGTTTACTTTATTTTTTATTGTCTTTAGAAAAAGAAGCCAAGGATCTTTCCTCCTAAATGTTTTCTTCTGGCCTCTTCATGGTCCATGATGCCTCCTGAGGTTGTTAGTACCAAAAATCTACAAGACAAATCATCAGAATTAAACCGTAAGAGAAGAAATTTACATAATATCGGGCAAATATAAAGTAATTATGTTTAATAGATTCCAAGAAGAATGTGTGACAAAAATATATGTTGGAAGGATGAACGAAAAAGGTGATTGCAACATTTAAATTATATAGTGTGGGTATATAGAGTGAAAATCATTATTTGAACTGGGTGTTTACTTTCAAAAATCATTTCATTCAATAAGTATTTCACGACATAAGATGGAAGTATAAAATTGAGTTAGCAAATAAAAAAACCCCACCACATTACATGTATTAAGATACCAATAAGTCAATCAAAAACCTTAGGGTTGAAAAAAGGACAACACCATGGCTAATAGACAAAAAATTTCACAAAATACAGAAAAACTTTCTAATAACACAAGCAAAAAGTACTGACAGTGCTGACAAAATACATTATATTCAGTAATAGTAGTCCAATTTCACCACTTTTCCTTGTCTATCAAATCATTTATTAAATCATAGCTTAGACATGCTAGTCTTAAAAATATTAAAATGTTTCATATCAAAACCTGGAAAAACTATTGACTATGATAGGGGAGATAACTCATTTATCCAAAATACTGTTTGTATTAATTTTATCATTTATATCTAAGAATTTCCGATAACGCTATCACTGACAAATATCAAAGGAAATAATGATTATTTAATATGCAAAAATTTGCATGTTTAAACTAATTTTCTTAAATGTGGGAATCAATGTCCAACAGACCATCAATTTGACCCATACTATATTTAACCAATCTATGTATTGAATATTCTATACCAATCATTAACTTTGTAATAAAGACAAAAACTAAATATTATGAATGTCTTTTAAAAATCTTTTAAAAAATGAGTGATTTCCCTTTGTACAGAAATGGATTAATTCATCAAAAATTAAATTCTTGGGAAAGGGCTATAATTGAAACACGAGAAAAGCTAAAATCTTGAAAATTGAACTTGACCTTCATTTAGTCACAGGAAACAATATATCTAAATTTGAAAAAAATTCTTCAAAGCGTTTTCATGTAAATGAATGGACACTGTTTGGCAGCCACCCGCCTGCGGTACATCCTTAAATCAATAACGTGATTTTTACTTTGAAAATCGGGTAAATGAACTTTATTTTGGTTGCTGAACAATAAGAAGTGTTGAAAATAAACATGTCAAGAGGTCAATCAGATGTTCGAGATGTAATTTATTCTTTATTTCCTGACAAATTCAGCAGGGTCGGGAGGTAGAAAACAAGCATTTTTTTTTACCTAAGTTACAGTAAAAATTTATACATACTATTTTTTCTTTCAATCACTTACCCAAACTGTCTTGAAGGTAACAGATTTGTGGTCCACTTCTCCATGTCTCTCATGGCAATGTCAAACCTTGGACTGATTACACCACACTAAAAAAAAGAACCCAAAATAAATACAACACAACTGTGTTTCAACCTTGAACTTTCATATCATCCTAACCTTATTCACAAGACACAACTAGCCCTCTGTTATTTTTAAGTTTTCTAAAATTGTAAACTATCAGTCTGTGCCAAAAACTTTTTGATAACTAAACCATTGGGCTAATGACCATGTAATGTCTACTGGACCAAACCAATTTTCAGAAGACTCATATTCTTTAATGATTTTCAGGGACAGATTTCCTAGTCCATAAAATTCAGCCTTGGCTTTTAGACTGATATCTAAGACCATAATTATCATGATTAAATCAAAAAATTGCAACAATATCAATTCAAAGGAAGGTTTAAAAATTCACAAAATGCCCTTGTCTGCTGAATTATGAAGGTATTCATACTTTTTTTTTAAAAGTATGATAACCCAAAAAAAAAGACAAACAAAATGGAAAAGTGAAATCCTCATTTATAGCACAGGGATTTGTTTCTGTAAAAAATATACCTATATACCTTAATTTAACACAAGGTACCCATCTTAACACAACCTTGGTCATGAATTAGCTGATCTATATACCATGTATTGGAAAATAAATTGTTAGAGACCAGAGTGTCATTATACTTCACAAATAACAAGTAAATAACAAAGAGATCTCTGTTTTCATGTTCCATTCAATGCGACCATATAAGTACGAAACTCCTTATACGGCTATTAGTGAATGGGTCTTATACAAAGATAGAATTCATATCTTATAATTTTATAAAACTAAAAATATCTGGAATACTGGTGGATTTCAGAATGAAATTAGAACAGAAATGGGCAACACTATTATACCTCTCTATTTCAAGGTCAGTATAAACTGGAATTTAGCCTTATCCAATTAACAAGATTAACAAGAAGATGAATGATTGTAAAGCTGACAAAAAGATATAGAGTGAAGGACTACTAGAATACACTATACCCCATGATATACAGATTACTTAGAACTATGTACAAGCGACATTACCATGAGACATAAATTCCATGTATCTTATAAGTATGAAGCAACCCAACTATTTTACATGTTTATCCTTTCCTCTGCAATTGTCAGTAGTGCCTGGATACTTGGCATATTAAGAGTGAAAAGTATACTAGGTATTATTTGTAAATGAATACACAATTAATCGTTTGTGTCTGTGTGGATTAAAAGGACCTACTAACTTAGACAAATAGTTTAGTTATCTAGTCACAACAGGCAGTTACTGATCCAATGTTTTTTAAATCCTAGATCATTTTTCTCATATTTTTTTTAGAACTTGAAGCTTTTTGATTGTTCATGTAGGCCTTTTCAATGCTTTACCTGGGTTGGTCCCCTGTGTTCATTTCAACATTGAAGCCACGATTGTTTGTATACATTGAGTGGTATCTATAGATTGTGTTTATCACTAGCATATATATATGGTGGAGCCTTGTTCCAGATGATAATTAGGTATGTCGTATTGACAACTGGTTTCCTTTGATTAGAGGTAACACAAACAGTTAATAATTTTTAAGAGATACCAGTAAAAGGATGAATACAAGGTCGGTGTCAATTTTGCAACTTTTTCTCGTAGATTTAAAAAAAAAAAAAAAAAAAAAAAACAGATACGATTTTGAAAATGCTCTCAGATATTCACTAGACCAATCGGGCAATCACTGGTGCTTCCGCACCAGTCGTATGAGATTTATACTAGACAAGGGCTTCGAGTTACAACTTAATGACGCAGTCGGACTGTAATTCTATTAAATCATGTAACATAATTATATTTGATTAGTGGTTGATTCAGTTTCTGCAGCAAATACAGCATTCATAATTTGGACTACCTATGTAAAAAGCTAATATATGTGAACATATATGCACATGCACATTCAAACTCTTTTCTTTAACACAGACAGAGGCATACTAGTACAGCTAAAAATTTGAAACATGTTGATGGAAAATTAATTAGAAATTTAAATTTTGACATACTTTATTTAATCTTCCTGTTAAATTGACAACAATTTTGCCATTTCTGTGGTCATCGACAATCTCAAACTCTCCAATGTAACCTGAAAAAATATACAACTTTTTTTAAGGCCAGGCCTTTGTATTTTGTTGGTTTACAGATTTAACAAAAGTAATGACACAATTTCATGTACAATTTTTTACTTAAACTGAAGTTCATCTCAAAAGTCTATAAATTGGGCTAATTAAATTGTCCTCTTGAACAAAATATACATTCAACACACTTAATCTGATTTACCAACTTGCATAAAAACATTCCTTTCTTTTAGAAGTTTTTTGTTTCAAACAATATATCCAAGATAAATAGTTAATCGGAACTGAAATGAAGGCCATACAAGTTGGAGGTTTTGTGTGCTGTAAGACCCTTTCCAACAGACCCCTTTCATTCAACAGTGCCTCTACCAAGTCAGGATAGTGACAATCAACCAATTGTTCTGATGAGAATCATTTGAAGAAACCCCATCCCCCTAAAAAGTAGCCAGTAGAAATAGACATGGTTCTTAACTATACCTTAAAGTTTAGTACATTTTGTTCTCTTACCTGGATACTTTAATTTATAAGTTTACTGTTTATTTGCTCCATATTTATTTTGTTAAATTATTTACATTAAGCTTGCATTGAGAGAAAGTATAGGAAGACATGTTCTATAAGTAAAAAGAAGTGTGTTTTTTAAGGTTTAATGCAGAAAAGTCAGCTGTGCTTTGTATAGGTCTTTTAGTCTGTAAGAAGACCAGAAGTCATATTGCCATTTTGAAAGCTGTGATTGTATATAAAGCTGCTTGTTGAGTTTTATTGGAATATCTCCACAAGGAAGTTTGTATTCAATATATAAATTGACTTTTATTATGAAATGTTTACATACAGATATTTTTAGTTCAGACTGAAACAATATTTCATATTTACCATGCTTCATCATTACTGTTAAAAATTTTATGATGACTTTTGATGAAGGTCTGATCAACACCTGCCTCTTTCCTCTTCTCTCAGCGGCTGCAATAGACCTCAGGGCGTCTGCCAATACGTTCATACGCACCATCTTGAGCTGAAAGTAATAATGCAATTAAGTAAGTATATAAACTTGTAAAGCATTTTCACTTGTACTTTGCTATTCATCTCAGTCCCATGTTGGATCATTTTATTGCAATATCATGATAATGCCACTGTCACATTAACTTTATTAAGACACAGTTGATCAAGTTCATCATTGTTCATATGGTCAGTTTGAATGAATTTCAGAAATAGCAAAATCATGAAAGTGGATATCTTATTAAAAACTCATAGGCAAAATTTCACAGGGTTTCGTTTTAGCACTTCTGAAACCGAAGGTAGTTAGTGCAAATATGACAGAATTTTGCAATTTATGATGTTGATAACTTTTTAACTAAATTTTTGTCAATCCTATTGTGCTATACACCTTATCGCTATCTCGCTTGAACTTTTGACATCATACAACAATCACTTTTCCATGCTTGTTTAGTTTATTTTCCATTGTGGCGTCAGATATTTTCTATTATGACGTCAAAATTTAACGGGAACTTTTGTGATGTCCAGTAATGGCGGACAAATAAGGTGTATTCAACAGAAGTATTTTACTCAAACCCATAAATGAAACAAATGGCTATTCCTCTACTTCTCTGGCATTGGATTGAGGGCATAGGCAAAACACGTTTTGGGGTTATCTTCATCCAAGCAAAGAACCGAATGTATGCATGAATTTCAATGGTCCTGCGAAAACTTTGTGCAGAGTTGGGCGACACTTAATACTAGAGGGTTAGTCAAAAGGCATGAAACTTTTATTTTGCAAGACTGCTCGACATACTTGGGCTCACAATGTTGGGAATCTGAGTTATGAATAGCTGCTGCAAATCAACAATTGCAACCCATCTTAACTATTTTGAAGCTGTCGGTTTATTCAAACACTAATGAAATACTTGACAGGAAAGTTTGAATCGGTGACAATTAAGATTGGAGATTAGTCAGTAACGTTTAATGCATACTTAAACAGTATTGTCATTTTACATTAAATATTTAACAGTGTGTCCACTCTATATCCTTACTGAAATTTAAAGTTATTTAAACATAATTAAATGATGTGATCGCAACAGATCTCAGTACGTTGATTCATGATGGACATGTCAAAGAACCAGATTGATTTTCCGATAATATGCTGTAAATTAAAGAAAAATTATCATTTACTTTTAAAGGTATTGGTTAAATTTATCATTTAAAGGCCTTTTATTCATTCAAATATTGTTCATTAGTTAGGATGATTGCAGATAATTTCAAACACAAATAATTTGGCATGTACCGTTGAAATTAGCGGAAGTAAAGGACGAAAACAGTGAAAGGAATTGTGGGTAAAACAGGTGCTCGTCTTAGTATAGAAAACGTTTTTCATTACATTGATTTTATTTTATCTATAAAACGTTTTGCTGACCTATTTCGTCGACAAGGCAATGTAAACAACATGGCCTCCAAGATTTGCTTCTGCTTCTGCCAGATAATTTGCTCTCTGCTTTCTCGTTATCCGACGTCTGATGGTAGTAGAATGAATCACATGTTTATCGCATAGGTATACCCTCGACTAACATTTCAGTGTAATATTTATGTAAGGTTTACTTAACTGCCAGAAAAGTGTGAAAAAATGAAAGATTTTAATAGTGACAGTAGTGTAAAGTAAACTATAATACAGAAATTATAAAATATTTCCAATATCCTTGACACTATCGATATAGCTTGCATGATATGATAAGATACGAAAGTTTTATTTTGATTTGGTTCACATATCACAGTACATATATAAGCTCTTGAGAATTTTTGACCGATTAAGGTTCATCATAACAAACGTACAAAAATGGCTTTATTTACATCTCAAAAACTACTCTGAGAACAGACTAACCATGTACAGTTGGAAAAGTTTTAAGGCCTGGCATCCACTAGATATATAAAAGTTAAATGCATTTTGTGTTTCAGAAAGATAAAAAAACTTTTTTGGATTTTGATGGGCATTTTTTTTTGTTCCTGCAGAAGGTGTCAAAATAAACTAAGTTGGGATACAACTTTGAGATGCTCCCTCTCAGGTAACAACTTATTGTATTGTCTTGATTGGCATGGACAATAGACAGAAAATAGATATCTACACAACTGTAGGTGAGTTAAAGGGTGTAATTGAGTGGACAGTATCAAATGAAATTCAGGTGTTTGTTTATTTTTACACCTTCTGCAGGAACGAAAAAAAAATGCCAATCAAAATCCAAAAAAGATTTTATCTTTCTGAAACACAAATTGCATTTAACTTTTATATATCTAGTGGATGCCAGGCCTTAAAACTTTACAGACTGGACAGGTTAGTCTGTACTCAGAGTAGTTTTTGAGATGTAAATACAGTCATTTTTGTCTATTTGTTATGATGAACCTTAAATAGATAACATATACATGACATTAAAACAGAAAGGAATCAGGACAACTCAGATCAAAGACAACTTTGATCACTTTAAAAGACAACTCAGTCTATTTTGAAAGACAACTCATTACAACTTAAAAGACAAGTTCTAATGAGTGGTCTTAAGTTGTCTTACAGGTGGTCCAAGTTGTCTTAAAAGTGGTCCAAGTTGTCTTGGTCTGAGTTGTCATGTATTCAACAGAGAGCATGCAGATAACTTATATCATGTATATTACAGTACATAGATACAGCATATTGAAATAAATGCAAAGCAATACTAAACTACACATCTAAACATGCCAAAACTGAAGCATAACTAAAATTAAAGCAAAACTAATTTAAAGCATTTAAAATTAAAGCAAACACCTGCACTGATGCATGATGTAAAATGATCCTTCTGGTCGATAGGCTTATTTACACTTTTGATATTTAGCTAAATTTTGTCTCCAAATGACTCTAGATCTGTCTCTGAATAACCTTTTAAGGTCAAGCAACAGTCACTTTTTAATTATGACATCAATTTTTTTAAATTGTGATACAATATTTTGCAGGAACTTGTTTGGTATTGAGTAATGGTAGACAAATTTGCAAGTGTAAATAAGTCTATTATTTTGATAATTTTTTCCAAATGGGTATATTTATTTCCTTCCACTTATAATATTAAGACATATAAATGTAAACTAATTATCTGTTCCTTGTTTTAAAAAAATGTAAATCAAGCACCGAACTGGGAAAATCATAGGAAAGGGCTATTATTGTTATAAATAAGTATGAGAATGAGAATTCTTGTGTCCAAATTTTCACAGCAGAGCACACTTGTGACAAAATTACTTTTTGTTAAATAATATATTCCTTTTCAAAATAGACCTATAGTTTTTAACTTCTACTTCATTTTGTCTCTGGTGGAGAGTTGTCTCATTGGCAATCATACCACATCTTATTTTTATATCATTAATGTTGAAGGCCATACTGTCAGTGACCTATAGTTGCCAAGATCTACGTCACTTGGTCTTTGATGGATAGTTTTCTCATTGGCAATCATACCACTTCTCCATATTTTATATTCTGTCAAAACACTTAATGCATATAATTATGTTACATGTACATGCATAAACATTATTAAATAATGTGTCTGAAATTACCCGGACCTGGTGGCCAAACAGGTTTTGTGGCTTGAATGCATCAATAGCCCTTGCACTAGTTTTATAGACTATATATTTTTATATTCACTTCAGTATTTCATGTTTTCCTTGATCATTAATCATTGTAAGTTAAATTACAATGTTTTCTTAAGAATCAGTTTTACTATGGCCTTGTTTAACATTACTTCTCAGTTTTTGACAAAACTCCATAAAGATCCAACTAATTTTAAATTAATTGATTATAAACCTAAGGTTACTTGGATGATGTTTCTTGCTTTGTATACACTGTAATTCAAACTTGTATACTGAAATTTCTGTAATTTCAAGTAATCTGATATGATCATAATTGGGAATAAATAAAATTTAAAAAGTACTTTATCTTTCCCAACATATTATTAAAGAGGAAAGATCAGATTTGCTATACTTAGAAAATACTTTGTGCATATAAATTAGAATCTTTTTAAGCTTTGTTTCACATTTGTAATTTTTTTTATACCTGAATTAATGATTTATTTTTAAGATTGTTAATTTTCTTACCAACAGCAGTATATTATATTCCTGTAAAATGTTCAATATCAGCACCAGACTGAGATTATGTGATAGATGACAAGTGTTCTCTCAGCCTGGTGGTGAAAATGACTGTTATATGAAGCAGAAATTCTTAAAGATATCTTGAGCATTGAAAAGCACATATATATATATTTCTCTACAAATTTTACTTTGAAAAAGGGTAAATAAATCTTGTTTGCAAAAATTGCAAGGGACTTAAAAACCACTGAGTGTAGTTACCAGTTCCAATTACTGTTTAACTATTCTGATTTTAAAGGAAAGGGTTGGATGAGCCTGCTTTGGCTTAATTTTTAATAAATCTTTGTGTTTGAAATTGAAAACAAACAACATGACATATTGTTTAGAATTCATGATGTTATGGAAAAAAAACTTCTACACATTTTCATAAAAATACATACTAGGTTTTAATTCATATGGTTTAAATTTTGGGACCTGGATATACATGTATACAACACACACAAAAACTAGATGAGTAATTAACTGTAGTTTTATATGCATTTTTATATAGAAACATAATAAAATGTTTATATGAACAATTACCACCTCTCTTTAAAATATTTACACAAACTTTGTGCATGCACTCTTTATTTTTTCACTCTCATATATGTTTTCAGTTTTTAAAGAAAAATTAAATTTTGAAAAAAAGAGTTATGCCATTTTTCATCCTTTAAATTGCAGTGAAAATTTACATCAGATGTAGAATGCAAATATTCTTGCTTTTTTTCCCTGCTGTTATTAAGGAATTAACAAGTATTTTATGAATAAAAGATTGTAAATTGAAACAGTTCAGATTATTGATATATATTTTACTTTGTGGTTCACTTTTGATAAATCAGATAAACCTTAATTTACATGCTATACAAATGTATATTCTATTTCTTTAAGGATATAATTCCTGCCAAGATGTCTATGTACAGTACCAGACCAACCACAATAAGAAGTGGCATTACTTTGAAGCCAAAATATAATGTCCAACACTGTTCAGATAAACACACAGAAGAACAGGTATATTTTATTTAAACCAGTTTTAATTTTATTTAAAAACAAATCAAGTTAAATGAGTGTAAAGTATAGTTAGAGCAACTGCATATTAGCCCAAAACTCAAATAAATGAAATTTTTTTGCAGTGTGATCTCAGAACTTTATTGACACTCTAGGCAGTTTACACTGTACCAAGAGGCACACAAATGATACAAATAATATTTTACAATGGTGAACAAGATAGAAAAAAATATACATACATAGTTCATTATACCTTATTCTCTGTAGTCTGTACACAAGTATACACATAAATAACACGTGAAATCTCTGATAGAAATACAATCTAATTAGAACTCACAAAGTTTAGGTAATTTGAGTATTTGAACATAAAACTAAAAATAGTTCTTTATGATATATAGATATAAGAAGATGTGGTATGAGTGCCATTGAAACAACTATCCATCCAAGTCAAAATTTATAAAAGTAAACCATTATAGGTCAAAGTACGGTCTTCAACACAGAGCCTTGGCTCACACAAAACAGCAAGCTATAAAGGGCCCCAAAAATATATACATTTTGTATTAGTCAGGATTTAATTATTTTCTCTCTCTCTTTCTCTCTCTCTCTTTGTTCATATTTGAAGGGAAGGAGAAACATTTAAACAATTTTTATCTCTGTGTTTCTGATATCATTGAAGTGGATTTTCACGGTCATTTCTGATTTAGCATGTATCATCTTCAATTATTACAAAGCTCAAAAAAACCAATGTTCCTTGTAAAAAAAATTGACATAATAGCTGTTGTTTGAAAAGAACATGTGTTATTCAAAACAAAAATTTTTGTACAATGTATGCGGCACTGTGCACCTCATATTTCCAGTCATCCTTTATTTTGACCAAAAAGTTTTTAAAGCATCAATTTGCAATGTACATGATGTAGTGTATAGTCTACATGAATTTGTCAATAAGTCTTTATTAAACATATGAAAGGCTTAACTTTTTTACTTTATTTTCTAGTAACAATCTGTTCCCTGGCCAATAGATTAGAGAATAAAATCTTTTGGGTGATTCCATATCTGTATCTTGTTCTATTGTTGAATGCATTTTATGGTTATTTGAAAAAAAATCCTATTTTTCTTATATTTTATACTAATTTATGAATATTGTTTTGTTTATGATTAGATTATATAATCATTTCAATATACACAGATAAAATTATAATTTGAGACTTTTTTATGCACATTTTATTCATTAAAGCATAATTATAATATATATATATATATAACTGTTTCTTCTGTTATAGAAAGATATAGTGAGAAATGCTCAGGCAGAACTACATACGATTATTACAGCATTGGAAGTAGTGAAGTCAGATCAAGAGGTTGACCGACTTAGAGAGGACTGCGTGAAAATCAAAGAAAAAGTAGATAAAGCTTTGTTGACCTTGAAAATCTTGTATAAGATAAATGCTGAGTTACAGTATGCCAGAGCAGATGTCAGGAATGGAGAAGGGGAGCTAATCACTATTGCTCGTAAACGTGTAAAATGGTTAGAGGATCGTATGGCCACGCTATGTGGTAAAAATAAGCGTCAGGTATGAACTTCTATTTATAGAAATTTATTTTATGATCAAAAATGATGTGTGAAGTGGGAATATTCATGTTAGCTTTCAAGAGTAAAGATTAATTTGTTTCACATGTATTACAAAAATTTAATCGAATGAAATAATTGTAAATAATTTACAAAAGTAAAAAGAAATCACCATACAAGTTAATGGTATATACCTTATACTATGATATTTTAATTACCGGTACTTCACAGCAACATATGCTCAATTAGAAGCATGCATTTATATGTAGAAACCAAATTTTGGATGCTATAGCATAAGATAACATCAGGTCATTGCTTCAGAATTGGCATGATTTATAACTGATAAATTAGAAATGATTAAGAAACTAAGGTTCTAACTGCCTCAAGTCCAATAAGATGGATTTGTCTATTCTTTTTGATCAAACAGCTGCTCTGTCTATGAAGAAACAACATCAAAAATGTGGTGTTCACTGAATAACCCGTGTAGCAGGTTATAAAAGTGTACACAACAGCTTTGAGGTTATTTCGAATAGAAGGAAAAAATATTACAGTCATTATGCCCTGCTGTAGTTTTACTCTTGTCCGTCAGTACATAGAGACGTACGGACGTCCCAAAATTGGTTTCCTTTCTCTAACTTGAGTTTGCCTCAACCAAATGTTACGAAACTTATACACAATGCTTATTATCACAAAATACAGATCAAGTTTGAATTTTTGTAGCGTCACTCTAACCGTTAGAGTAATGCCCCTTTATCAATGGAAAAATTACAAAATTTTTAGTTTCCGTTCTCTAACTTAAGTTTGCCTCAACCAAATGTTATGAAACTTAAACACAATGCTTATTACCACAAAACAGATTAAGTTTGAATTTTGGTGGGGTCACTATAACCACTCTAGAGTTATTCCTCTTTATAAATGGAAAAATTGCAAAATGTTTAGTTTCCGTTCTCTAACTTAAGTTTGCCTCAACCAAATATTATGAAACTTATACACAATGCTTATTACCACAAAATAAAGATCAAGTTTGAATTTTGGTGGGGTCACTTTAACCATTCTCGAGTTATGCCCCTTTATAAATGGAAAAAAATGCAAAATTTTTAGTTTCCATTCTCTTACTTAAGTTGCCTCAACCAAATGTTATTAAACTTATACACAATGCTTTTTACCACAAAACACAGATCAAGTTGAATTTTGGTGGCGTCACTTTAATCATTATCGAGTTATGCCCCTTTATAAATTGAAAAAATTGCAAAATATTTAGTTTCCATTCTGTAACTTAAGTTTGCCCCAACCAAACATTATGAAACCTTTCCACAATACTTATTACCACAAAACTCAGATCAAGTACAAATTTGGGTAGCGTCACTTTTATTGTTCTTGAGTTATGTCCCTTTATAATGTTGTATGCAAGCGGGGGCATCATCTGTGTCCATGGGGACACATTCTCCATTTATTCCTTATAATTTATTTCTAAATTCAATTTTTTCATGAGTAAACCATGCAAAAATGTTGATGATGTCACTGTCACATGACAAAATTATGTCTATGAGCTGATAGACAAAAAACTTTTAGCCAATCAGAAGATTTGTTAAATCCAAAATTAAATTATCTGTTTATATCATAGGCTTTCAAAGTTTTGGATGTGACTATTGTGAGTATTCCTGAGGAAAAAAAATCAAAAGTGTTTTGGACACATCAAAGTTATAAAATGTTCACATTGTGATAGTGCTTCTTGTAGCATTTGCATAGGGAAGGGTATTTTTTTCTCAGAATGCACTCTTAGTGTGATTGGCTTCACTTTAGGGCACCCTTTGGGTAGACAAGGACTACACGTTTAAGGCACCTTTTACATAGATATAAAGGCACTGTTATGGATAGGAATTTTCAGAATATGCCATTGTTTCCTGTTTACAGTTAAGAAATAAAGATATGCATATTAGGTAACTAATTTCATTCCTTTTTGTCTTGCCGGCGACAAAAGTCACGGGAAGCGAGACATAGGGATTACTTTTCCAGCGACAGCGGTTGCATCAACAATTGTTAAGTTTTCTGCTTAGTTAGTTTGAAAGGAATACTTGTGATAGATCATTGATATTTAATACAAAGTTGCATTACTATCAGCACATACATTGTATCAGTTTGACGACTATTTCTAGGCCCTGCCCCCTAGGTCATGGTCCAGCAACTTTGAATTAACTAGCAACTTTCAATGTTAAGTTTTCTGCTTAAGTTAGTTTGATAGGAACTATTTGTGATAGATCATTGATATTTTATATAAAGTTGCATTACTATCGGTACATATCGTTTTGACGACTATTTTGAGGACCTGCCCCCTAAGTCATGGTCCAGTGACTTTGAATTAATAAGCAATTTTCAATGTTAAGTTTTCTGCTTAAGTTAGTTTGATAGGATCTACTTGTGATAAATCAAGGATATTTTATATGAAGTCGCATTTCTGTCAGTACATATCAGTTTGATGACTATTTTAAGGCCACAGCCCCTAGGACATGGTCCAGTGACTTTGAATTAATAAGCAATTTTCAATGTTAAGTTTTCTGCTTGAGTTAGTTTGATAGGATCTACTTGTGATAGATCAATGATATTTTGTATGAAGTCGCATTACTATCAGTACATATCTGTTTGATGACTATTTTGAGGCCCTGCCCCCCTAGGTCATGGTCCAGTGACTTTGTATTAATTAGCAATTTTCAATGTTAAGTTTTCTGCTTAAGTCAGTTTGATAAGAACTACTTGTGGCAGATCAATAATATTTTGTATAAAGTTGCATTACTATCAGTACATCTCAGCTTGTTGACCATTTCTAGGCCCTTCCCACAAGATCATGGTTCAGCGACTTTGAATTAATAAGCAATGTTGCTGTCCATCAGATTGTCTTTTTCTGAATTTTATGTGGACAGTCGAGACATATCTCTGTGTCAACAGTTTATTGTAATAAAATTATCAATTCTAGATTCAGCTAATAGAATCTTGATAGTGCAACTGCCTCCTTTAAATCTATACCTCTAGTTATATACTTTTATACCGGAGCCCTCATTGTCTAAGGATGTGTTGTGAATGTGTCAAGACTTGCATGACCAAGAGTATGCATTGTTTTTTAGCTGCACAAAAGAATAAGTGCCAAATATTTTTCGAATCTGACATGTTCATTTCCTTGGCTCAAACTGTACAACACTGTTTAGGCTATTCATCTTTTTTTTTTCAACTTAATTCTGTTGTTTTTTTGGGTTTTTTTTTGACTGATGGGGTGTTGATTTTTGGTACTAAAAATCTTATCAATTAGCCTGTAATTGACTTATTATCTTTCAGGAATAGGTCATGCATTGTAGATGTAATTAAAACTATATAAGCTATTCTCTTAACATTAATTTTTCAAAGTGAAAAGACTTGTCTTTTGAATTGGAGATAAAAGTCAGTTTAAACATTTGTATTTTATATAAAAAACTAAGGTTATTTTAACATTTATATTGTTTAATTTAATAGGGTCAAACTGGACTAAGACAATCTCATAAAACATACACAACAGCTGTAACGTTTCGATCAGACAGTGAGGACTTTAGTGAACAGAGACTCCCTCCCATTAGCCAGAGACCAGGTTATTCTGATGATGAAGGACCTAGTTCACTGTATACACCATCTATCAGTGGATCAGAAGATTTACAGGAACTACAGGTACAGTACATGCACATGTGTACACCCGTGTAGCCCAGGGGGGGGGTTCAGACCAACCCTTTCTTAAAATAATACTATTACCCGTAAAACTTTTTAAAGTTAAGATTCAGATTTAAATTTGTCTATTAAAGTCAGAGCCACATGGCCCCAACCACCTCACTCAAATTAAAGATATCGCAGCTAGTAGGCCTGATGTGTTCAGGCACATCTATTTTAGTAAAGCTGAATTCACTGCATGAACATTATTATCACTGTTAAATTTGCTGACCAAATGTATTTAGGGAAGGAACTTAAAAAAGGAATTAACCCATGGGAGCTATTTATAATCTTTGGTTTGTGTTTATATTGAGAGAGATGTTTTGGTACAACTGATCGCAGCAGCAATTTATAAAGTGCCTTTCCACAGTAATTTACATGTGCTAACATTCCCTTGTTGATGAATTAGAATACCAAAAAGAAGTCCATATATGTATACATGTGCACACTTCATCACATATATACTAAGATGCTGAATCAGCAATTGTTTAGACCAGTTTCATGTATATTTTTTATATCTGTTTTAGACTTCTTACTTCTTACTTACACTAGATTCAAACTGTAATGAATTAACTCAAATTTATGCACGCAGCACATGCATCTTCATTTTTATAAGCTTGATTGCCAACAGTTTGCAAGTCAAATTTATGTTGACAAATGACTGGGATCAATTAACTTATTTTGTCCAAGTCATGTAGAAAACAAAAGTCACAAAGACTTAAAAAAATTAGGAAAGTAAAACAAGTTGGTCACGGAATAACTTTTTATATGATAATTAGATAACTTACAAATTTTTACTCAGAGAGGGCAGAGAGGGATGATGGACACACCTATGTCAGAGGCCTCATCAGAAGTACCTACTACTACAGCTTACAAACAAGTGGAGGAAGAATCAGATGAATCTGATATAGAATCCAGTACAAAGAAAGGATCCAGTACTAGTTCTTCTGAGAGAAAAGATACCAGTTCAGGACAGTCTGAAGCTGGGGACCAGTTAGGTGAACTGCCTTCTGTATTCCAGAAGAAAGAATTTATACAGACAAGTTCTCCCCAACCAATTGTTATAACAGCTACAGTTCAGGTAGACCATTAACTCAAATGCAATGTTAACTTATTTTTGTACATATAGATTTGTTATTGGTAAACATGCAGTACAGTCCATAGAAATTATGAGGGCATATTCACAGATTCAGAATCTTAAAAATTCTATTTGATTTATTTTCAATATTACACTTCAAAACTATTATTTATAGTAACACATTCAACAAACTATACTCAATAAATGGTGAATTATTAGTTAAATTTTTGTGTTCAGTTTGAAGACTCATGTTGCAGAATTGCCATATTCCTTAAATGTTTAAAAAACAAACTACCTTGGTTATCTCAGAGAAGCTTGCTCACATCAAGTTAGGGAGTTCATTTGATGAACACAGCAATTAACAAGATTGGGTAGGTTTGATAGAAATCTCATAAAACATAAAATGTTATCGTCCTGAATGTGCATGTATAAGAATCGGCCTTAGGAAACTACCTACCCATTTTATTTCAAAATTTCTGATACTACCTAAATACTGTTTTTTGCTTGCAAGAGTCACATTTTTTTTCATTCTGCTTGTCTGTCCTCATATTTTGTTTCTTTGCATTCTAGATACGCAGGAACATTTTTTTAAAGCAACCACCAGTTAATAAGTAGTCATATCTTTTTCTATGAGGGAAAATTATGTCATAGACCACAAATGATACTATGAAAATAGAAAGTACACAAAGCTTGTAATACTTTGATTATTTTGTGCAGAACTTATTTTTATATGCTACTTTTAATATAGGAAGAAGATGAGGATGAAGAAGAGGATGAAGATGAGGAGGAAGAAAAAGAGGATGATGATAAAGCTCAAGGTCAAGAGGAAGTACAACCTGATAAGGTCAAAGGTCAGGAACAAGAAGCAGTTGGTGAACAAGAGGAGACACAAGAGAAAAGTGGTGCTGAAAAGCAAGAAAAAACTTTCCTTACAGAAGTTTCTGCTGTCACAAACAAAAGTCGTGTAACCATAGTAACACCCACAAGAGAAGACACACGACAAGGTACTGAATTATTTGTTTAATATATTAGTCTTTCCACTTTTCTAGATTTCTAAAATCGCGAGAGATTAAAAGATCCATTTTTCCCTAGTTGTCAAGAATAAATGATAAATTTTTGGATAATAAAAAGTTTGCTTAAATTCAATAATAATAAAGTCCAAAAATTAAATATTTGAATTTGGGTGAAAAGATTATGAATTAAAAATCGGCTTCATTTCTTTCAGGACAGAAAACAGATAATAGAAATTGGCTCCATCAGCTGTATTCATAGTAGATCTTTATTCTATTTTAGGCAAAAAATGGAGTTTTTCTAATTTATAATTACATCCTAAAAATTTGTAATTTTTTTTTTCTTTAAAGAATTCTTTTTTATTTGAATTGTAGTTAGTTGTTCTTAAGCTTTTTCTCAGATAAAAGATATATTTTGTTTTATCTTTCTTCCTGTAAATCAACTACATTGTATAACAATTAGAAAAAGGCCAACCAGAATTTTCTGTGTCCTTAAAATTAAAACTATGGTTATTCAATGCCTGAATATGTAACAGACAAAAAAAGATGATACTATTTTTAAGGTTCAAACAAGGATGACTATACTGTATGGGTTTTGCTCATTGTTAAAAAACACTGTTTGGTGACCTATTATTGTTTACATCTACTTCAATTGAACTCTAGTAGATAGTTATCTCAATCATATCACATCTCCTTTTTTCAATTAATTATATCAGTTGGAAAGCAAGTCCTTGGAAACGTCCGTTGTCGTCAAGCTCTATCAGCAACAATAGCAAGGGAATTAATTAGGTGGTATTACAGTCGTCGGTGACGTCAAAAAGTCCGCGAAATAAATCGGCTAAAAAATCGACGTTTAAACTATTTTTTCAACTTGTCATGCTTTTATTATAATTGATTTTTAAAGTTTGTAGATGTTGTGAACAATATAGTTTCAATACGACATTGAAACATTGTCGAAAATAACTTTTATTTGCTATTAGTTCATCCTGTCCGTTCTAAAAATTATCAGCCATCTTTTTTGTTCTCCAAAAACATCGAATTTATATAACTTGACGTTTGCGTATCCAAATACGGAATAGAACGTTAAAAATCTTAAATGAAACCGGGTAACTTATTTCAAATTTCTACACAATTATGAAGCCATCATTTTTTACTCTAATACAACAATTTTAGTGACCACCAGTCATGTCAATTTGTAGCTGGTTTTGGCTGATTTTCTAGTTCAAAACAGTGAATGTGCAGCTTCTTTTCATTGTAACTGTTTCCAAGGTACTCTAAAATTCTGATTTTATTAGAGATATGAATGAAATTGTAATTAAGAATTGTTGTTTTTCACAATTCCATACGATACCTCCATTTCAAAGTGACAAAAACCCTTCTTGATCCCCTACACAAATTGACGGTGACATTGTTTTCTTTTTTCAACATACGTCATATAACGTTAACAAATATGTGTCAGGGTCATGTGCATAGTGAAAATTTACACATTGGAAAAGTGAAACAAAGATCATCTTTATTGTGTTTGAAACTGTACGTCTAAGAAAATTTCTTTGATACTGGAAACAAATCTGACAAATCAATGAATGGACAAAAACACAAAATATAGCAAGAGAAAATGCCTTGCAAAATTTCTGGAGGAAAAAAACATATGTAAAAGTAAATGAAGGTCATTTAATTATACTTATAAGTTAAAACCTTGCTTATTTGATTATCTCTGACTTTATTAAATAAGCTACAGTAATAAGTGCAAAAACTAGCATATCAAGTCAAACAAGAAATTTAATTCATAGAGATGTTTTCTTACAAAATTGAATTTATTCAAATGGCAAATTCTTATCTTTCACAATCATTAAGTAAAAGGCACAAGATTTGTTTTACCAATTATCATTTGTGATATAAATTTCCAATTATTAATTAGATAAAAAATATCCAATACTTTGTTTTAAAATAGGTATACCAGCTGATACAGCAACCTAAAGAGTAGAAGCCCCATTTTTTCTTTCAAAAAGTTTACTTTCTTAATCTATAAAATACCCTCAGAAATTTGGCAAGAGCTACTAGCTGTGCTTGCTAAGCTAATAATTGAATTTTACAATAATAATGATTTTAAAATTCAAAATTATGTCACTTTTTCACTGACTTTCTTTCAAAATTTTTGGTAAACAGATCCTTTTTCTGTAGGATATTTTCTAGGCAGTACTGTACTGTTAAACTAAGAAACATAGGATTGACCTGAAAGGTTTTTATTACTTAGAAGAAACTATTGTGACTCATGGTCCCACTTTTTAGAATATAACATTTTTAATGATCAGTATTATTTATTATTTTTATTTCAGAAAGATTAATTAATTAATATAAAGTATGTTTTATTGCATTAAACATAATTAGAAGTATTTAAAAAAAATTCTACTAGGAGTGATCCCATATCCCATTATAAAAATTACAAAGTAAATTTCATCAGCCAGAGCTAATTTATATCAAGTCAGCTAGGTTTCTGGGTGACATTTCTAAATTTTTTACCTTTTTTTTGTCTTCTAATTTTTTCCAATAATCCTTCTCTGAAAAGTAGGGGAAGTATCTCTTCTTAATATTATGATAACATACTTGTAAATGGAATTTCATTTATTTTCTTCTTGATTTTTGTAAAGTAAACTCCTTTTTATTTTTTTTTTGCTGGGTTTTTATTTTTGACTGGTGATATCAAGGGGAGATAACCACTTGCACAAATCGGCAAAAAAACCACCGTTTCATGTTGAAAATAACTTGACGTTTGCGTATCCAAAACTCTATTGCCTAGGTATTCATATCGAGTGTTTGTCTTAATGAGATGCTTTATCAAATTTAAATTCAGCCCATCATTTTTAGTTTCTTCGAAAATATTTAGATTTTTCGATCAAGAGACTTGACAATTTTCACGCAAATTTCAAGTTTGAAGGTAAAATTAAGAAAGAAGGACTTTCAGTTGACCGTAAGTTTTGACGAGTGAAAACTATGTATATTCAAGATTATTAGATCAAAAAGTTTTTATCATGACAGTGGCATTTTATTGAGTAAAAATGAGATTTGTCTCAGTCGTTGTTTTACAGAATTTTCACGGTCACGTGACTCTATTGTTGCTGATAGACTTGGGGTCAAACCGTGACCTGCTTTCCAACTGATATGGTTAATTTTAAACAACTTGCCAGAAAAATGAGTGTCTATGGTATTAAGTTGATATATGTTTGTTAATTTTAATATTTGGAAAATTTCTGTTAAACATGTTAAAAGGAAGGTATTAATAATCCAATTTCATAATATATGTATAGAGCTTCTATAATTTTACTGTTTTTTGACATTTGGCAGTTAAGATTTATAAACAGAAAAAGTTCAAACCAGGTAAAGTGTGGGATGAGAGCTTACATGTATACATTGTATTAATAGAATTTGCTGTTTTTATGTTGGATCATGGGAAATTCTTATTGTTTGGTGTTTAGGAAAACAATTTTTAATTAAATTCAATATATGTAATTTAATAGAAAAACAAAGGATATGGGGTATCCATCCATGACACAAAATCAGTACATACACTGCAAAAAACACACAAAAGCAAAAGTAAATCGTTTTTATTGCTGTTCTTCATCTCAAAGTCACAGTGATTTGTTTTTGAAACTACATCTGAAAGAGATGTATTTAATATCAATTGTCAAAATGGCAATGAAATTATGTAAAGTATGAGAGTTATAATGTAAATGTCAAATTCAAAAATTGTTTGTCCATAAAAATAGTCAACATACCAAACCAAATCAACTCACCAAAACCAAGATGGCTGCCCACCAAAATGGCGCATTCCACCTGTTTCTGACTGACTGCAGAAAATAATTAAACCCTCACCAAAATGCCTCCAGGCACCGAGTCGACCGTGCGAGGGCTGAACAGCCAGTCAAGGTCATTAAACACATCCAGTAGTAGTTTGTGCATAACTATTAAGGATACTTATCTAATTATTTCATTGAATTTGGTTACAGAAATAAGTTGCTTATTAAGATAATTACATTTTATTTTAGAAATTTGATAACAATTCAAGGAGTTTACATAGTTATTAGGAGTATGGATTTTTGAGAAAAAATGAAAAATAATTTATCTTGTAAGATGCAGTGGTACTTATAGATATGATGATTTATTTAAGAATTGAATATTTGTTGAATAGAGTTATTGGCCTGTAAAAGCATTGACTGATGCAAAAAACAAGTTAATTGGTTAATGCTTAAAACCAAACAAAAATTACCAAAAATATGTCTTTATTTTTGGCACACATTTAAAATATGTGTGCCAAACTCACATACTCAACTTTTGATACCATTACACAGTTGTTATAAAGAAGCATGGATTTTTACATATAGTAAACAAATTTTGATTAAATGTAGTCCTGGAAAATATTGATATGTTCAATAATTTTATTGGGTCATACAAACTTCAATTTCTAAAACTATCAACCAATCATAATGCCACAATCATTTAAAATTTATATTTATAATGTTATAGTAACCACTCAATGATAAATATTCAAACATTGTCATCTTTTTAAATGTACCACATCACACAAAAAGTGTTCTTATTATTTGACAGCATGTGTTGTCACTTTTTCAATGCAAACAAATAGTAAAATATCTGAAAACAAAAGATATATAGAATTCTAAATACAGGGATTTCTGTCACCAAAGAACAAACCACATACAATTTAAGACTAAATAAACAAGGATTGGGAACAGTATATATATACAGCTAGCAAAGAAAATAATTGACAACTTCATTACTTTTTGTTTGTCAAATGTCCTTTGAGATGTTAACACTCACCTCAGCTTAATAAACACAATTTATTTTTGAAAATAAAAGCTTCAGGATTCACACAGCCCTGCTGAACATTTATTTATTTATTTGCAAGCTTTGTGACCTTAACATTATGTTTAAAAATTATCTGATCAATTGAGTGTGCTATAATTACTAACTATATTGGGAAAGAATGCTGGTGAATGGGGAAAAAAATACAAGATTTTGCTTATTTTGATTAATGGCCTTTTGGCGAAGCATTTAATGATACCATTGAAAATTTATAGTTCTTCTATGCTGTACTTACCAATAAAAAGGTTTTCTGAGTGCTGTTAGAATACCCATTGTGGAAGACAAAGCCGGCAATACTGTGGATTCATTATTATTCGTGTGAAACCAATTTTTCTGGAGTTTGTATGCAGGTGAATCACAAAGGAGTAGGTTCAATAAGGTCCTAAATTGGCCCCTATTTCTGGCTTAAATTTGAAATTAGGATTTATTGTCCAATACCAAAATGAATCATAGCTAATACAATGACAATATCAAAAATATAATTTTTTTTTTAAATTTACATACTTGCGCTCTGTTCATGACGTCACAAATAGCACTCATTTTGATTTTCTACGAAAATTCAATGAAAATGGTTAAATTTCCATTGATTTCTTGGATAGGAAACATAGAGCGCAGGTGTCAACAAAAAAGATATTTTAGCATAATCTTTGTTTTGGCATTTTACATATCTGACATAAATATTTAGTTTGTCGATGCCTGCGCTCTATGTTTCCTAGGCATTAATTTGGTTGAAATCAGTACGATTTTGTCAAATTTTGCAAAAATCTCTGTTTTTGACCTATTTGGGATGTAAAAATCAACGCTTCAGAATAGAACTTTGACAAAAATACTTCTATTTAACTTCCTCACATGTCTTTTCATCAACTTAACACATTTTTATCCTGAAACATTGAACTTAATAATCGGGGCCAAATATGGCCCTTACCAAACCTACTCCTTTATATGTTCAAAGAAATACAAATTTCCTTCAGGAATTAAATAGGCAACTTTTCCTTTATCCTGGAGGGGCCTAGGTGGCAGAGTGGTCTAAGTAGTCTTCCTACTTTATCACTAGCCTTTTAACACTGAGGTGGTGACACCGAATCCCACACATGGGTGCTCTTGACTCCAGTCTCAATTGACTAGGATTGTCAGTTTGCCTACTGAAGGTTGGTGGTTCTCTCCAGGCACTGAGACTTCCTCCACCAATAAAAACTGACCGCCATGAAAAAGCACAATAGTGTTGAAAGTGGTGTTAAACAACAATCAATCAATCAATCAATCAATCTTTATCCATAAAAATTTGTTTCTGCCAAAATAAGTGAATCCACAGTAGATGTAATTTTCTATGTGAAAATGTAATGATTAAGGATTATAAATTATTTCTGTCCAGATGTTACTTAAGGAACCAAAGTACTGTATTTGAAAAGTTGCAACCATCAATTTTGAGATTTGACAGTTGCAAATGACACTTTTAATATTGACACAGAAGGAAGTCAGTAAAATAGATATTGGCTACAATTAAATCCAATTGATGGTGTCAACTCTTCAAATATAACACTATTATTTCTATTCTAATGCAATACTTTTAAAATGTTCAGAATTTGAAATTTTAAATATCTTGGAACTGTTAACTACAAATGCTCAACTTTGTTTCCGATGTCTTTGACAACCAACCTTGGAAATGACAGCAGACATCATTCAAACAAAACAAAGAAATATTACGTCATATTGCATTAGAATAGTAACAAAAGTTTATAATCAAGTTACTATTTTAATAATATTTAAATGTTACCAAATATATTGTTACAGAATTTCCAAATAGTTTAAATCAGAGGTCCAATAATGGTAAGAAATGCATGTCAGCTGCATGACCGAAGTGAGAATTAATTGAATCTGAATGGGTTTACCTTAACACATAATTTATCAATTGAAAATATTGATAAAATACTTTCTGCAATTAGTAGCATGACTTTACTTTAGTCAACATGTGTTTTTAAACTGTCTTTAATTGTGCCTTAAGTATGTAGATTAACCCAAATATACATTGTGGTAATAAGTTACATGTATAAGTATAAGTTTAACTTTGAGGAAATAGTGACAGTATATATGTGAGTATGTAATATTCATATATGATACAGAGTTAAAAATATGTCTGAAATAATACTTAAGGGTGTAGTGACCATTAACAGTACAATTCTTGGGTTCTTTAATATGACGAATCTTAACTATGTATTCAGATTTTGGATTTTGGGCCCTCTTTTTAAATTGGTCCACATTAAGATCCAAAGGGTCCAAAATTAAACTTTGTTTGATTTTATAAAAAAATGAATGATTAGGGTTCTTTGAAATGCCAAATTTAACCATGCATTTAGATTATAATTGTCCCCAACTGATGTGATGCTATTTTACCTTGAATTTACATATTTTACATCAAATTTAATCAATAAATTCTATGTATGGAATTTAACATTAAATTCAATCAATGATTAAATTTAACCTAGTTATATATTTTTCAGCATTTTTAAGAGATGTTGAAGAAGAAAACCGAGATGTTGTATTGGAGTACTGGCAATCAGAACATCACAGATTTGAGTACGGTGAACATTATGATGTTATGTTACAGTTAGATCCTCTGTCGTATCATCAGATGCCTCTAGCTGTACCTGGTAGTTTCCTACAAAAATGTAAGTCTTCTTAACGTCAGTAGTCTTGATTATCTAGTTTCAAATTTAAGGGAAGCTTGGACCATATTTAGTGTAACACTCTTTCTCTAATTCTTATCTGATTTATCCTTTTTCGTGACCTGTTATGACGTCAAATTTTCTTGCATTCCTCTGATTTCCTTATGTAACATCAAAGGCGCCATGCCTGATGACATCACATATAAAGAACACATCTTTTTGCAGATCATTTGAAAAGAAGTATTAAGATTGTCTGTATATCATCTAAAAATCATTAGAGAAACACTCTCGATAGTTAAATTTAAAATATTTAAAATGCTCGACAATCCTCGTGTTTTGTATTTGAAAATTTAACTGTCTCGAGTGGATAAATAACGTATCACACTTGGAGCAGTGGTAGAAACTATATTAAGGGAATTAGTCATTTATTTTAAAGAAACCAGCTTTAGATTTATATACTTTGTAATTTCCAGTTCAAAATTATGGGATTTGAAAATGAATGATTCAAAGTACACTAGTGTTTTTAATATTTATAAATTGATTGGTATAGTATCTTTCAAAATGCCAAGTGGCATGTTTCCTTGTTTGTTCTTTCTTTCATACAGATTGAATTATTTGTATCATTCAATTTGTCTGTATTCTGTTTTTTAGATGAGAAAGAATTTGAAGGTCTTCCATGGAGAAAGTTGGAAAAACATGAAATCGATGTTTCAACTGTTTACGTAAGTGGGCATTAAATTTTTTGAATGATTATAAAAAATCATTATTGGGAAAAATTAATTTGTTCCTCAGTAGACTATTGATTAGCAATTAAAGATAAGAGATAATTAACTTTGATTAGTTGTAATCAATTTTCTAGCAATTAATTTTCAAGTTCCTTGAAATATCACCATGAAACTCCAATGCAGGAACAATATAGATAGGAATTAATCACTTTAAAGTAAAAAGAAGTATCATTGTTTTGTATTGAAAGCTGATTCATAGGGAAAGTGCTGAAAAATAAATCAGATCTGATGTAAAGTACATTCTGTAATTATTTGTAACATTGGAAAATCGACTGTAGCTCCAGAGAGTTTTACAGTACATGCAATTATATTGTTAGGAGAGGGACAAATCAGTTAGCAGCGACCTTTCTAAAGAATTAAGATTTATCAAAAGTGAATTTTATTGGTGTTAGTGTAGAAAAACTTAATTCAAGGTGCACTTTGGTTTAAGTACTAAGATTTTCTTTTTCTACCAATTCACTAAAGGAATTGGGATCAGTTTTTAAATTTTACAGTTCATTTTATCAGGATTGCTGTTTTACCATAAATGTGTAAAGTTTTAACAGTTACCTGCAATATCTTAAAAAAAAGCTTTTTGGATTTGTGTGGAAATTCTACAAGGGAATTTGAACTGTTGAACATGTACCTTGAAATTTCTTTTTCGGCATCATGAACATATTGAACTTTAAAGTCTGTATTAGCTGGGAAGCTTTATCACTTAATAAGTCACTTTGAAGGAATATCTTTAAAAGAGGAAACATTTATTTATAACTGTACAATGATTTTATTGATATGATTAATATTTATTGTACAGAAAGGAGATTTAGATAAGTTGGCTAAGAGAGTATACAGAATGTATGACAAAGTGTACCAGGCTACAATGTTATCTGTCAAACCAACTAAGGTAGAACATGAGAGGACCAGATCACAGTCACTCATCTTTCAAAGCAGAGAAAGTAAGTGCAAGCTTAATATCAAAGAAAAAAAAAGATTTATTTTGTGGACTGGCTATTTTACTATTGACTTATGAAAAAAAGGAATTGTGTGTTATATGTTAATGAGCCAGCAATCCAACAACTTAATTAAACAAAACATGTACAGTTATCTAGAGATCCACAAGTCTGTTTACCTTGATTTAGGCCCTTTGCATCATTCTTAATTCTGATCAAATAAACTGATAATTCAGGAATTTTTGCAATATATACATTTGACAATTCATTTTCAGAAATAGTTTTACAAACTGAAACTTCAATAAAAAACTACAAACCTTTCTGCTGGAATATTGTTCAAAAAGAGTCATCGTGACTTCATTGACTTTCTTTGAAATATATCTTTAATATTTATCCTCAAACCCTGTATGGTAATGTTTGTTTCAATCGTTTTTGTCGAGCCTGCTACTTTTGTTGCAAAAGCGAGATATAGCGATCCTACATTCCATCGTCGTTGTTGGTGGCGGCGTCCACAAATATTCACTCTGTGGTTAAAGTTTTTGAAATTTTAATAACTTTCTTAAACTATGCTGGATTTCTACCAAACTTGGACAGAAGCTAGTTTATGATCATAAGATAGTATCCAGAATAAAGGTTTGTAAAAAAAAAATCCTGTTTATCCGTATTTTTCTTATAAATGGACTTAGTTTTTCTGCCAGTTAACATTACATTCACTCTGTGGTTAAAGTTTTTGAAATTTTAAAAACTTTTTTAAACTATCCTGGATTTCTACCAAACTTGGACAGAGGCTTCTTTAAGATCATAAGATAGTATCCAGAAGTAAATTTTGCAAACAAAAAAAATCCTGTTTATCCATATTTTACTTATAAATGGACTTAGTTTTTCTGCCAGTTAACATTACATTCACTCTGTGGTTAATGTTTTAAAAATTTTAATAACTTTTTTAAACTATCCTGGATTTGTACCAAACTTGGACAGAAGCTTCTTTATGATCAAAAGCTAGTATCTAGAAGGAAATTTTGTAAAAATTTATTTTCTGTTTTTCTGTATATCACTTAAAAATGGACTTAGTTTTTCTTCCAATTAACAGTCTGCAGTTAAAGTTTTTAAAACATTTATAAGATTCATAAACTATCCTGGATTTGTACCAAACTTGGACAGAAGCTTCTTACAATCAAAAGATAGTATCTAGAGGAAAATTTTTAATAATTTTTTTCCCCATTTTTGTTGAGCCTGCGACTAACAGCAAAAGTAGGCGAGACACTGGGTTCCGTGGAACTCTTACAAATTTTTTTATGAATGATTTAAAAGTTATGAATTATAAGGGATCTTTATTTTTTTGCTTTTCAGTGATGAGCAAAGAGAGTACAATGGTGGGTTCAACAAGGGTAAGTCGTTTTGTATTTTAAATGTATAAGAGGAACAAAAAGTGATTGATGCACACACAAACTTACTTATAGTAAACAGAAATATCTGTATACTGCTGTGTGCTTGATTTTGACAAGTGATAGAAGGCCCGAATCAATGAACTAGAGAGTCAATTACTCCTTTAATAAGAGAAGGATTGAAGCAACTTAAGAGTTACTATTTACATTAGGATATCTCGCATATATATTTTTCAAACACTTAATATTCCATTTTCAATACTTGGATTACATGTTTGCACATTTTAAATGTCTTATTTGTATCTCAAAGCATGTTGTTGACTTCTACACTGTGAACTAGCACATTAAAATTTTGACTTATGGTTTCAGTCTAGAACTAAGCAAGGCATATGTTGTTATCATACTGAATATGCATGTAACAGTCGTATTAAACTTTCATAAAATAATAGGAATGAAAAAGAGATCACTGGTAAATGTGAATACGGCAGTCACCTAACCATACATACTAAGTAACCATAATTTTCTTTATTTTAGATGCAGACAGCTGCCACCAGTTGTTTACCAAGTGAGATAGCCAGAATGATGTCCGTTCAACCAGCCATACCAATTAAAATGCCAAAGAGATTATTGAATAACAGAAAATCACCTCCAATAGTGTACTATCCTAAACCTATACCTCCCCCAGATGTTTTACCATTGACTAGAACTGTAAGTATTAGTTCATGTAAGGGATGTTCCATAAAAACATACATCATTCCCAGGAGAGGCATTTTAAAAATAGAGTAACCACACATACAACTACTGTAAATTCAGAAATTATTGCGTGCATTTATTACTACGATTTTAAATTATAATGGACAAAAAATGCGAGATTAATTATTGCGATTTCAAGAAAATCTTTATACAGATATTATATCAGATATCAGAATGCGAGTTCTTATTATTGCGATACTCAACCAGTCGCATTATTCTCAGTAATAAAAATCTCGCAATAATTTTTGAATTTACAGTCATTTTAGAGACCTGCATACATTCTAAATTTTAACCCCATGATAATCCACACCCACCCATAGTGGCAAATTGATTTTACAGATGATGACTTTTGGCTTTAAACATATAAGTATTTTTGAAATGTTTGCATGCATATGTAAACCAGAAAGAATTGTAATATTCTAAAGATTTATTAATTCAACAAATAGTTGACAACCCAGAACTTTTTTGTGGACTTGGTTACTTTTGACAGACTGTTACTAAATGTACCTAAAACTTATATTGAAAGAATTTATTTATTTAGAATTGAAGACTACAAATATCTGACTTTTGAAAATATTTACTTCCTTAGACAAGAGGAAAGGAGTACCCTAGATTGGTAGAGTCCTTCACAGATCCTGATCCTGTTAAGCGCAAACCTGCTATTCGTGTCTGTGATCAGGGTAAACTTGCACAGGAAACCAGATTAACACTGTATAAAGAGAAAGTGAAAGGCAGAAGGAAGGGACCCAGTACAACAGAGAAGAAATTCAGACTTATGTTACAACAGGAACAGAGTGTTGTCAGCACACCGAAATCTGACAGGTATTGTGTGAATCAACTTCTCTTTACAATGACTTATTTTGGGGATCAGTTTGAAAATTTTAATGTATACGCACATATTGAAATTCAAATTCACAAAGATTTTGCTTAATATTTTATTTGTTCTCAAGAATTTTGGAAAGCTATATTTATCAAGAGTATGATATGAATTTGATTTATAGTACTCTTACATTTGACTTGTCGTACTTATGCCATATATCCATCAGTGAATGGAGTACCTGGGTGAGGTATGAGTAAATATAAAGGTTTGGTACCATTAAAACGTTTAAACCTGCTGCAATTGTTTGCACCTGTCCTAAGTCAGGAATCTGATGTTCAGTAATTGTCGTTTGTTGATGTGGTTCGTAAGTGTTTCTCGTTTCTTGTTTTTTATATAGATTAGACCGTTGGTTTTCCCGTTTGAATGGTTTTACACTAGTAATTTTTGGGGCCCTTTATAGCTTGCTGTTCGGTGTGAGCCAAGGCTCCGTGTTGAAGACCATACTTTGACCTATAATGGTTTACTTTTATAAATTGTGACTTAGATGGAGAATTGTCTCATTGGCACTCATACCACATCTTCTTATATCTAATTGTTGAAGATTATTGCTTAAAGTTATGATAATCTATAGAAATATATTGTTGTATAAGAATCCAAAAAATAAGCTATAGAAAGTGATGAAGCAGACAACAAATCAAAAAACTTTACATCATGTTTTAAAGAATTACATTAGGAAATTTATGATTACTAATAGCTAAAAGTAAATCAAAATATACTGGTACATGTACTACTAAATTTTGTGCCACAAGGTTAACAAAGTATGACTACTGCTTCAATATGGTACTACTGAAATATCAAACTTAAGTCATAAATAATTAGTTGATATCAGGTTTCTCAATTAGGATTGTTGTGTTAAACTCCAGAGACTCATCATTTTAGGTTATGGCATTTCCAAAGTTCTAAAGAATAACAATATCACTGCTTTATATTACTTTTTTTCTTCAATTCATAACACAATGGAAAAAGCACTTAACATGAAATGACAATAACAGAATCTAGATGCATCCTTGAACAAACTAGTTCAGAAAATGTTTAGTCCAGCCTCTTTTCTTTAACACAAGACTCACAGAAGACTTTTCTGAGAACCCTTTCTTTAAACTGTACATTAGTTTTTATACGACCGCAAAAAAATTTTGTGGTCGTATATTGGTATGATGTTGGCGTCGTCGTCGTCGTCCGAAAACACATTGGTTTTCACACTCTAACTTTAGTTTAAGTGAAGGGATCTTTTTGAAATTTGACCATAAGGTTAAATACCACAAAAGGAAGGTTGGGATTGATTTTGGGGGTTATGGTACCAACAGTTAAGGAATAAGGGGCCAAAAATAAGCATTTTCTAGTTTCCAGACAATAACTGTGGAACGGTGTATGGATCTCTCTGAAATTATACTACAAGTTTCCATACCACAAAGGGATGGTTAGGATTTGCTTTGGGGGGTTATGGCTCAAACCGTTTAGGAATTAGGGTCAAAAAAGGGGGAAAAACAAGCTTGTCCTGGTTAATGGACAAATACTTTAGTACAAAACATAATTTAAAGCAGTGTAAGGGAGATAAATCAAATACATCATTGAAATTATCTGCCTCACACTGCTTTTAAATTATGTATAAAGTAATGGTTAATGAACAATAAAGATAATTTAAAACAGTGTAAGGGAGGTAATCCAAATACAACGTTTTGGTTACTTCCCTTACACTGCTTTTAAATTTTGTTTAAAGAAATGCATATTTATAAAGGAAGACCAGTAAAAATATCTGCAAATGTTGCATCTTTTTTTTTTACAAAAAAATCCATATGAAAGATTTGACACTATATTTTTTATTCTATTATAAAATAGATTAAGTTAGCACTATTGTAAATTTTAATGGGTAATTATGGGGGAAAAAGGGGGTGGGGGGGATAAAAAGAAATTGTGGGGGGTCAATTTTTTCTCATTTCAGATTTCAGAAATTAAAAAGAATTATTCTTCAAATATTATTTTTTTTTCAAATTTCAAATATTGAAAAATTTCAAGAAGTAATCTTTAATTGCACATTATGGCACATTAGAATTGTAAAATCTTTGATCACATTTATTTATTTGTTATGCCGAATCTAACAGTGTATTTAGATTTTTAATTTTGGGTCCAGTTTTCAAATTGGTCTACATTAAGGTCCAAAGGGTCCAAAATTAAACTTTGTTTGATTTTAGCAAAAATTGAATATATGAGGTTCTTTGATATGCTGAATCTAAACATGTATTTAGATTTTTGATTTTTGGCCCAGTTTTCAAGTTGGTCCAAATTGGGGTCCAAAATTAAACTTTGTTTGATTTCAACAAAAATTGAATATATGGGGTTCTTTGATATGCTGAATCTAACCATGTATTTAGATTTTTTATTTGTGGACCCCGTTATCAAATTGGTTCATATTGAGGTCATAAGGGTCCAAAATTAAACTTTGTTTGATTTCATCAAAAATTGAATTATTGGGGTTCTTTGATATTCCAAATCTAACCTTGTATTTAGATTTTTAATTTTGGGTCCTGTTTTTTAAATTGGTCTACATTAAGGTCCAAAGGGTCCAAAATTAAACTTAGTTTGATTTTAACAAAAATTGAATTCTTGGGGTTCTTTGATATGCTGAATCTAAACATGTGTTTAGACTTTTGATTATGGGCCCAGTTTTCAAGTTGGTCCAAGATAGGGTCCAGTATTTAAACTTTGTTTGATTTCAACAAAAATTGAATATATGGGGTACTTTGATATGCTGAATCTAAACATGTATTTAGATTTTTGATTATGGGCCCAGTTTTCAAGTTGGTCCAATTTGGGGTCCAAAATTAAACTTTGTTTGATTTCAACAAAAATTGAATACCGGTATATGAGGTTCTTTGATATGCTGAATCTAACCATGTATTTAGATTTTTTATTTGTAGGCCCCGCTATCAAATTGGTTCAAATTGAGGTCAAAAGGGTCCAAAATTAAACTTTGTTTGATTTCATCAAAAATTGAATTATTGGGGTTCTTTGATATGCCACATCTAACCGTGTTTTTAGATTTTTAATTTGGGTCCCGTTTTTTAAATTGGTCTTCATTGAGGTCCAAAGGGTCCAAAATTAAACTTAGTTTGATTTTAACAAAAATTGAATTCTTAGGGTTCTTTGATATGCTGAATCTAAACATGTGTTTAGATTTTTGATTATGGGCCCAGTTTTCAAGTTGGTCCAAGTTGGGGTCCAAAATTAAACTTTTTTTGATTTCAACAAAAATTGAATATATGGGGTTCTTTGATATGCTGAATCTAACCATGAATTTAGATTTTTTATTTGTGGGCCCCGCTATCAAATTGGTTCATATTGAGGTCAAAAGGGTCCAAAATTAAACTTTGTTTGATTTCATCAAAAAATGAATTATTGGGGTTCTTTGATATTCCAAATCTAACCGTGTATTTAGATTTTTAATTTTAAGTCCCGTTTTTTAAATTGGTCTACATTAAGGTCCAAAGGGTCCAAAATTAAACTTAGTTTGATTTTAGCAAAAATTGAATTCTTGGGGTTCTTTGATATACTGAATCTAAACATGTGTTTAGATTTTTGATTATGGGCCCAGTTTTCAAGTTTGTCCAAGTTGGGGTCCAAAATTAAACTTTGTTTGATTTTAACAAAAATTGAATATATGGGGTACTTTGATATGCTGAATCTAAACATGTATTTAGATTTTTGATTATGGGCCCAGTTTTCAAGTTGGTCCAATTTGGGGTCCAAAATTAAACTTTGTTTGATTTCAACAAAAATTGAATACCGGTATATGAGGTTCTTTGATATGCTGAATCTAACCATGTATTTAGATTTTTTATTTGTAGGCCCCGCTATCAAATTGGTTCAAATTGAGGTCAAAAGGGTCCAAAATTAAACTTTGTTTGATTTCATCAAAAATTGAATTATTGGGGTTCTTTGATATGCCACATCTAACCGTGTTTTTAGATTTTTAATTTGGGTCCCGTTTTTTAAATTGGTCTTCATTGAGGTCCAAAGGGTCCAAAATTAAACTTAGTTTGATTTTAACAAAAATTGAATTCTTAGGGTTCTTTGATATGCTGAATCTAAACATGTGTTTAGATTTTTGATTATGGGCCCAGTTTTCAAGTTGGTCCAAGTTGGGGTCCAAAATTAAACTTTTTTTGATTTCAACAAAAATTGAATATATGGGGTTCTTTGATATGCTGAATCTAACCATGAATTTAGATTTTTTATTTGTGGGCCCCGCTATCAAATTGGTTCATATTGAGGTCAAAAGGGTCCAAAATTAAACTTTGTTTGATTTCATCAAAAAATGAATTATTGGGGTTCTTTGATATTCCAAATCTAACCGTGTATTTAGATTTTTAATTTTAAGTCCCGTTTTTTAAATTGGTCTACATTAAGGTCCAAAGGGTCCAAAATTAAACTTAGTTTGATTTTAGCAAAAATTGAATTCTTGGGGTTCTTTGATATACTGAATCTAAACATGTGTTTAGATTTTTGATTATGGGCCCAGTTTTCAAGTTTGTCCAAGTTGGGGTCCAAAATTAAACTTTGTTTGATTTTAACAAAAATTGAATTTATGGGGTTCTTTGATATGCTGAATCTAACCATGTATTTTGATTTTGGACATTGGACCATAATAGGTAAATTAAAAAAATTCAAGTTCTTAGACCACATTCTTTCTGTGTCAGAAACCTATGCTGTGTCAAATATTTAATAACAATCCAAATTCAGAGCTGTATCAAGCTTGAATGTTGTGTCCATACTTGCCCCAACTGTTCAGGGTTCGACCTCTGCGGTCGTATCAAGCTGCGCCCCAGCGAAGCATTTTATTATTCATGAAATTTAAACATCACAGTGAGCTGTATACCAGTAAATTATTATTTTTTTATACCCCTGCTCCAATTGAAAGGGAGTATACTGTTTTATCCTGTCTGCCCTCCTGTTCAATAGCTTTCAGTTTTGCTTGTTCTTTCCAGAGCCAGATCCAGACCATTAGTGGTGAGAATGGATACCAAGATGTCTCAAGGTTGGTAAGAACTGTTGGAAGGGGAGATAACTGATTATAACAATTAATAAACAAAAAATTTTCCACATATTAAAAAAATGAAATGAAACAAACATAAGAACTGTAGATAACAAACAGTTGACAATGAAAGATAAATATTCCATAATCTTTGGATAACTTACTTTCCCTATGTATGAGTTGTCTTCCTTGGAAGTACAGTTATTATGGGAAATAATGTTGAAAAATAGATTTTATTTTTGAATTTGTAAGGGTTTTAAACATTTTTGAGAATAGAAATTTGAAGAAAATTATACACTTTATAATAAGATATAATGTGTTGAATAAGTTATAGTTGTGAAATAAAGAAAAAGTAGTAAGAGTGATGGAGGAAAGATAAGATTCAATGTTTCCATGAAGTTAGTATAAGCATTAGCATCTATTTTTCCCTTTTTTGGTACTTATATGAAGCAAACCTTTTAATGATAATGATTCAACAAGAGAAATTTTTATGAACATTGATAACATCGATGTTAATCAAAACAATAAATGTAACTATATCTTTCGTAGCTTTGATGTTAAAAATTGTAATTTCAGTTTGTAAACCTATTGTTTTAAAAAGAAAATTGAATTATTCACAATTTGAAATTAAACCTGTTTCCATCATTTTATTTTGGAAAATAAAAAAAAACTTAAGAAAATGTTTACTAAATCTAATCCTAAGTGTGATTATTCCATAAAATGATAATAATTAAAATATGATAATTGTAAGGTCTTAGAAATAAAAAGAGTACCGGTAAGAAAATTAAAAAAGAAGGATTTTGTGTACAAAATGCTGAATTCTTTTTAGAGGAAGAAAACAACGAGATTGTTGATGACATTAGCAGTGAAGGTAAACTAGGCTGGTGATAGTTGTTTTGTTTTAGATCTATATGTATATAGTGTTTTAATATAGTTTTGATTCTTTTTGGCTGGGTTTTTGTATTACGTACATGTGCTTTTCACAATTCAATGTAGATTTTTTTAATTGTAGAATATTCAATTTATTAATATGAATTTTCATTTGCAGATTTATTAAAGTAGATTGCTAACTTAAAAGTAGAACTTGAATAACATATTTTAGTACTTTTTCAGTTCTTCTTTCATTTTTGCTAAGATATGTGCTTTACCTGAAAGTATCACGCATTCAGGTGTTCAGAGCTTGCTGTACAGTGTGAACCCTAATTATTGTCGAATTCTATTTTGGTGGGAGCTATTATGTGCTGTTGGGTTGATGTCTTAACTGATTTTGACACTATACCCATTTGTATTTGTATATGGTTGTTTTCTTATTTTTGCTTGCTTCAATAACTTAATAACAACAACAAAACTCAGCTTGCATATATAAGATATTTATGATTAACTTATTTGTTGATCAGTCTTTTGTTTTCTATGTTGTGTTTTGAAATCTGCTGTTTTCTTTTGGTCACTTTTTGTTTTTTTGCCATGGCGTTGCCAGTTTGTCATTGATTAATGAGTTTAAATATCCCTTTCCTATCATCTGCCTCTCTTTTACATGTTCCATATTTTTTTAAGATTTTCACTTTTATCGTAAAAGTGTTAAGGTAGATGGGGTGTCTAAATTATAATCCATAGAATTTTTTAATAATTTGCCAAAATGTAGTTTATATCATGCTTTTTAAAAAATAATAATAAAAAGAACGGGTCACGGGGCTTATTTTCACGCTACAGGTTGTGCAAAATTGACAGATTTTGTATAGATTATGCATGGAAAACCCAATTTTCTGCCATAAAACGAAAACTACACCATAGAATTTTGAGATAAAATATGAGAAGATAGCTCTTCTAGTATGCTTTCAGATAAGAAAAAGAAAAAATGGGGTCACGGGACCCGTTTTCTTGCTACATAATAAAATAGGTAAATTCCTAACACATTCTATTGTAAAAGTAACTTTATCTGAATTATCTGCCCTTACATTTGAGTTGCCTCCCCTTATGTGGCAAAGTTAGAAAAAATAAAATCAAACAAAAGTATTCTTTTTTTTATAAAATACAACCATAAATACGATAAAATAGGTCATTTTCTATATTAAAATGAAAATTCTTACACATGAATTACTTACTACTCTCAAAATTTGCACCTTCTATTAAAGATCTAGACCGATTGTTTTCTGGTATTTCAAAATCCAAGATGGAGGAAGACACCCTATCTACCTTAAGTAGTGATAAATGTGTGTTATTTTGATTTTTTAAAATTTTGTCATAGCTTTAACCATTCATATTGGATTTTAAGTGATTGGTTAGCATAAATCTTTCTAAAATTTGCTATGAAATTGCATGTTATGCACTCACTACATACTTATAAAAATAAGGAGATGAGGTATGATTGCCAAAGAGACAACTATCCACCAAATTTATTTTATTGAGAGATAAAGTAATAAAAGTATGATACATGTAAATGTTTTTCTCAAAAATTAAAGAGAATTACATTAACAACCTCGTTTAATATCCAAGATCATCACCATGTCAATATTTCCTCTTAAAACATAGACAAATTAGAGGCAGTCCTATCCTTAGTTATTCTTAGAACAATCATAGAATAACTTTCAATAAATAGCCACTAGATAAGTGAAGTGAAACCAGGGGTGGATCCAGGGTCAGAGGAAAGGGATTCCCTCTTCTCTGAAATCACCACTGGAAACAGTCTTTTGCAAATTTATGGTGATCTTTTTTTTTGGCTACAATTTTCCCATGATGCTTTTAAATTGCTGGTATTATTTATGCCTGCTAGTGATTCATGAAGTTAACTTGATTAGCATAATTAAAATGCGTTTTTTTTATTTTTTAATATAAAATATTTAAATCTGTACACATTGCAGGTGAAGAAACAGAAGCAGATCATGAACTTAAAATCTTGTAGAAATATCTTTCTGCTAAAATGATTTTTAAAACTTTGTAAACAAGGAAAATGTTGGTTTTTTTTTTATTTTGTTGTAATCTGAATTTTTTTTTTTTTAACTTTTACTTTTATTTACAGCAAGCAGCTGGAATAAACTGAAGCCTAAAAGCCAGGAGTATGCTGGTTTGAAGTGGGAAAGAGTAAAGGTAAAAATATTAATAATGAATAAGTCAACTGAACCAACACCTTCTGGGTTCTCGGTCATAAAACTTTACTCAGTACTCGGAGTACAAAATTTGTGCTCAAAACACCAAATCCAGGATTTTGATTGGTTGATTTCTGAGTCTGAGTACGAAAATGGTGCTTGAAAGTTTTATGACTGCATGGCCAGGTTGTACAAGTGGGTAGAATTATCAGGATGGAAACAGAAAAAAATACAAACTACAAAAAGAGAACAACATCCTGGTTACAGCAAGGAAATTATTTTATTGTGGTCAGAATGTTTCACTACTTAAGATGGTGTCTTCAAAAGATAGGAAACAAACACTGAAGTACACTTGAGTGTGGTTCATGTTGGGTTACAGAAATGTTAACAGGATTTTTTTTAAATTTAATAAAAATATTAAAAGTTGAAAACTGCATTCATGTTACACTGTTAATTTTTTTATTTTTCATTGAAAAGCTACTGTTTTTTTTTTTAATCTGAATTTATTAGGAATTATTCAACAATTGTAATTACATTATATTAAAATAAGTATTCTGTATTTGAGAAAAAAAAACTTGGTCATTTCACTATGTCTTTACCTGCGTTCCACAGTCCACTCAAGCTTTGGTGTTAACTCCTAATTAAAAAAACAAAAACTTCTGGGTGAAAATGAAGTGATCACATGCTAGAGAACTGGTTAACATAAATATGATTTTGGTTATAATTCTGTAATTGTTTTTTCAGACTATCGTTCACAATAATCTGACATCTAAAAGAACAGATGAAAGAGTTGATGCTACAAAGGTAAGGATCTTATAGCAGTAGGTATAGATCCCATCACTAGAATAGTTAGGCTTTGCCATATCTATATAAAAATAAGATGATGTGGTATGATTGCAAATGAGACAACTATCCATAAAAGTCCAAATTTTATGCATGTAAGCAACTAAAGGTCACCATATGGCCTTCAGAAATGAAGGAAACCCATACCTTATACTTAGCTATGATAGGCCCAGACATGACAAAATGTGAAACTGGCTTTTTTGTGATGACATTTACCACCTTGTTTCCGTTTACTGTCAAAACTAATGAAGAATATTCTTGTACTTTACTTAGAGAATAACAATTTCAGAAGAAGGAATATAAAATTACCAAAAAGTTTTTTTTTTGATTGCCTTTAAGTGAGGGGTGTAAAGGGGGGTTATCTGCACGGAAGAACGCGAAATAAAATTGCCATTTCACGATGAACGAACAATTAAAACTTTCTTGCACGTTGATCTTTTTACCAATTTCACGAAACAAGATGAATAACGAACCTTTTTCACGGCTGCACGTGAAATAAAAATGGCAAAACACGTTGCATGAAAATAATCCTTTACCACCCTCTTAAGTGATAATGGAATTGTTTAGACTTTCATTCAAAATTTATGCATCTGAAGTGGTTTTCTGGATTTACCTTCATCATGAACACTTGAAGCAAAATATTTGAAAGCCAAGGATGTATAAGTGCTGAATCACATGAAGAGCTATATGACCAAAAGAGACCTAAAATAATAGTCAAATCCATCTATTAAGGTCAAATTTGTCAAAGTCGCAAAAATTAATAGCTTTCTAAAATTATTTGCTTTATGGTATTTGCAGTTTGAGCTTAGCACCCATCATTCAATCAATATTACATTGATTTGTCTTGTTTAAATTTGCAGCATCTAGGTTTACTGAGGTGTGGAGATGCTACTGTGTTAGTATTACGTTGAATTGTTTTGTTAATATTTGCAGCATCTAGGTTTACTGAGATGTGGAGATGCTACTGTGATATATGCTTTGAAAGAAAGAATGAAGTTAGACGAAGAACAGAGGGTTAGATATGAAGCTGCTAAATCTCTTATACTTGTGGGTAGGTGCTAAATCTCTTTCTCTTATACTTGTGGGTAGGTGCTTAATCTCTTTCTCTTATACTTGTGGGTAGGTGCTAAATCTCTGTTACTTGTGGGTAGGTGCAGTGCTAAATCTCTGATACTTGTGGGGAGGTGCTAAATCTCTGATACTTGTGGGGAGGTGCTAAATCTCTGATACTTGTGGGGAGGTGCTAAATCTCTGATACGTGTGGGTAGGTGCTTAATCTCATATACGTGTGGGTAGGTGCTAAATCTTCGATACGTGTGGGGAGGTGCTAAATCTCTGATACGTGTGGGGAGGTGCTAAATCTCCGATACGGGTGGGGAGGTGCTAAATCTCTGATACTGGTGGGGAGGTGCTAAATCTCCGATACTGGTGGGGAGGTGCTAAATCTCTGATACTTGTGGGTAGGTGCCAAATCTCTGATACTGGTGGGTAGGTGCTAAATCTCTTATACTGGTGGGTAGGTTTATCAGGACTGGGTTTTCAGCAACTGCTACATGTTAGAAGATTCAAATTGATTGGATTTTTTTCTCATTCCTTAACAATCATACTTTTCCAGATATTGTAAACCAACTAATTTTTGCATGCAATTAGTTTTTGTGACTTTTGTGAGTAGAAAAATAATGCAAATATTGCTTACATCCACTTCATTTGAACTTGGGTGGATAGTTGTCTAGCTAGCAATCATATCACATCTCCTTATTTTTATATGTAACAATTTGACCTTTCCTTATATAAATACATCATTACAATTAGAAAATCGCAGCAAAGTCGCTTAGAAAGAGCTAAAAGTGAAATAAAGTATATGTGAAAATAAGTTGGTTTAAGTAAATTGAACTGTAAAGAAGTCTTGCTTTTAACATCAGTGGTTTTTCCTAAACTCAAATTACATCAACAGTATGTATACACACAAGGTGATTCAATGAAAAATCACTCTTGCCGTTGTAGAGTGATTTGACTATGAAACAGAGTGATTGAAGATGACGAGACTTAGAATTATAACCCTGTCATACAGTACATTTGGAATATAGGGATTTCCAGGAAAGTTAATACACCACAAATGGATTAAAGGAGATATTAGGTATTTTACAATGAGGCAGCAAACAGACAACAACAAAAAAAGGAGAAGACATCTATCATTCAATATACAATTTACAACAGGAGACAAATGTTGATACCATATCACAACCACGTATACTTACAATGAAAATAGCTTTGTCAAATTGCCCCCATTGTGTGATCGTTGATCAACTGGGTCATGACCAGGTCAAATAACATATACAAAACAATGTCAAATTGGTCCATGAATGTAATTTTTCCGGGAAATAAATTCTGTAGTAATCTGTCTTAGACATAGAATGTAAATCTAAAAATTGATTATTATTTACTGAACAATCTCCCTGTTTGTTCAGCAAAACTAACCTTACAGGGGTACCCTGTCAAATGCTGTAGACATGGTATTTTTTATAACAGCATATAGTGCAATAAACTTGATTTTAGCAACAACAACAAAAAATAAACACATCTCAAGCACTAAATTGCCTTGAAACATCAGTCTAAAACAAGATGTGACTAAATATTCGAAAATAACTATGTATGATCTGCCAGCAACACACATTTTTTTATAAGACAAAATACTAACATATGTATTCAAGGACAACCGCTCACAAGTTTCTGACTTCATATTTTTTACTCTTCAGGCTGGTGGGAAGAGGAAGTTATACAAGTTATACTGAAATACCTGGTGATAGGTAACACAGAGGTCAGACTAGACTTAATCAGTACCATGATTGATGGTAAAAATGTCCAATATGTCAATAAGGTAAATATAGATAGGTTAGAGGTCATGGGTCATAGAACATAACCAGATAACACAGAGGTCAGACTAGACTTAATCAGTACCATGATTGATGGTAAAAATGTCCAGTATGTTAATAAGGTAAATATGGGTAGGTTAGAGGTCATGGGTCAAAGAACTTTACCAGAGGTCAGACTTGACTTAATCCGACCATAATTGATGGTAAAAATGTTCAGTATGTTAATAAAGTAAGTATAGAAAGGTAAGAGGTCATGTGTTAAAGAACATAACACAAAAATAAGGTTATAAAGCAAATATGTAAGGCTAAATCTAAAATTATAAATAATGATTTCTGACAGACTATAGTCTTGTGAATATTTGAAGGGTGTTATTATATAGATATATAAATTATGTGTTTTTACTTGGATTTCAAGAATTCAAAAATATAGCCTTTATATACTTACTTCTTTCTTCATGTTGTTTTATTTTAAACAAATGTGATTATGTTTCATTATTAGATAACTTTGTCTTTTTGCTGTTGCCATATTCTACTGAATATCTTTTAAATTAATATAGTTGATATTTTCATATTGTTAATTAGAGAGCATACTTTTTACATAAATTAAATTTCATTGTAGTCAATCAATACATTCCCAGAGCTTGTGAAAGTTCTAAGTCATTTCTGCTGTAATCCAGACCCAGATGATCAGATTTCATTTGAAGCTTCTGTTTTATTGGGAAGACTCTGCGTGTCAGATGAAAATGCCAGATTTAAACTGAAACAGTCATTAGAGTTCAGCAATGATACACATGTCAAAGCAAAGGTTTGTTTTCATGTTATAAGATAGTTTTAGTTAAGGCAATAAAGAAATATAAACACAGTATACCTTTGATAAATGTATCAGCAATTTTGCATATGCCATAAAAATAAATTGGCCAAGTGTTGTTTTGAAAAAATCAAGATTACCTCTCCACAGTGCAGGGCAACATGTTATCTTTCCCTGTAGGGCAGTTTTCCTTGCTGATTATATCATAAAAAGTAAAATCATTTTGCACTATAGCAGAATAGACAGATATTCCTGAATGTTTTGTTTGGGCATCTGGTTCAGCAACATATAATTTTCAAAGATTGTTCCAAAAACTACCAGATAGTTGAAAAATTTAGTAACTTTTACAAAAATTGTGAAAAAGGACCTTTTCCATGACATCACAACTACATTTATAAGATGTCAAAGATCGTTAATTACCTGTTTTCCATGACATCACAACTACATTTATAAGATGTCAAAGATCGTTAATTACCTGTTTTCCATGACATCACAACTACATTTATAAGATGTCAAAGATCGTTAACTACCTGTTTTCCATGACATCACAACTACATTTATAAGATGTCAAAGATCGTTAACTACCTGTTTTCCATGACATCACAACTACATTTATAAGATGTCAAAGATCGTTAACTACCTGTTTTCCATGACATCACAACTACATTTATAAGATGTCATAGATTGTTAACTACCTGTTTTCCATGACATCACAACTACATTGATAAGATGTCAATGATCGGTGGAAAATTTGGCCGAAAAAAGGCCTTATTGCACCCTGTTCTTTAGTAAAATTCAACTGAGAGAGTCTTTATCATCTTGAATTATCTTTATTTTCAGTCATTGGAGATTTTAGTGAAGCAGTTGAATGTGACGGACAATGATATAGTTCAGAGTACCCTAAAGATGTTGAGTACATCTTCTGTGTGGAAACATCGCTGTCTGGCAGCAGATCTTCTTATAACATTAGGTATATTTATACAGTAGATTCTTATTTATTCATTATTAACTGAAATCAATGATTTATTCAAGATTTATTTATAATTGGGGTATGTAAGCAAGGGTCCGGAAACGGTCATATATGCCAGACATGACCGATTTGGAAACTGAAAAGACCGAAATGATTTATTGGGATTTAGGTCTTTTTTTTTTTTTTACAGAAATAATTTCGGTCATTTCATTGAGATCAGGGTTTTATCGGTCGCCATTTTGAACTTATTTTTGTTTTCAGGTCATCAAGAAAAATAGATTTGTTTGAGACAAAATAAAAATTTTATTGATTTGTGTTAGTGATTTAATAATATTTATCATTAGTCTTGTTTATTCTATAATGTAAGTGAAAACAATGTACAGGACTCTGTCGAGTCACAGCGTGGGGTAAGTCTGGGTTCAAGTCACTAGGTTTGTTTACATAGTAAGGATAGTAATCAATGTCCAGGAAGTTTGAATTCGGCTTGGGTGTCGTTATTGTCTTGATTAAAGCCATAAAGGCCATGTACACAAATCTCACCTGTAAACACCTTTAAGCAATAAAAACAATATGGCGATTTGCTGTGCATCAAATTTAACGTTTTAACCATTCTGACCTAGATTTTCCCAAACAGATATTATTTTATTCATTAAAGAAGACAAATAACACTGTTGACTCGAGAATCTGTCTATTTTTGTCCAAATAAAACATATAATCCATTTATAATCGATCAGCTTATGGTTAACGTTTGTTAAATATAGATTTATGTTTACTGAGTTTGCGCATGGAAAATGGGGATCAACATGGGTTAATTGATAATCTTATTTAACTTTTCGGTAGGAAATGGCAGTTAAAGATATTAATAGATTTGCAAAAGTGGTAAAGCCTATAATTTATAGGAATGCAGAATTAAATCTCTAAATACTCAGCGAATGAACAATCTCGATTTTTTTGTTTTTTTTGCACTTCCGATTTTTTGAAACCATCTTACTCACAGAATGTAATGGGCGTTATCCTTTCTTATCAAGTATATAATTTTCAACAACTTTAGACATCTGAGCCCTGCTGAGCTACTTACAGAAGTGACACCAATGAAAGACCAATTTGTTAACATTGTAAGCTTAATTGAGATCGCCAGTGTCCTACCAGTTTCTAGTGTAGAGTGTGAGCGTGGGTTTTCTAGGCAAAACCTTATAAAGACAAAGCTCTGATGCAAGACCAGCACCGACACTTTGGATCAGCTGATGCGCATAGGATTAGTGGGTGTTTCTGTCAAAGACTTTGACCCAAAACCGGCACTCCGTCAGTGGCAGTCTAACCGTCAAAGACAAGTGTACCAAAACAACAAACAGAATGCTTTCTCTACGCTTATGAACATTAGATAGACTTATTTTGACTCTGTGTATTTGTGTTACCATTGATAGACTGCTATGTGTATTGAATATTTATAGACTGTCATTCCTAGAGTATTACAATGCAATTGTTTTTCATTGAATTGTTGTAACTGTGTACAAACTTCTGTTCAGATAAATTATTTATTTATTTAAAATCATGAATTTTATTATTAAATTCAATTGTTATCACTATACCAGACTTGAGTTATTTATTCAAAGAAAAGTTGACTCATAGTTTCCCCTTTTTGATCCTCATATCGTAAACCAGGTGAATACACATTATCTTGTTGTGTATTAGGTAATCACTTACACTCATCCAAACAGCAGCAATTTGAACAATACAAACGATATCTTGTACATGCAATAAGAAACTCAACACAGTTTATTAATTGGTTTACATAACTTTATTTCAAAATGATGAAACATGCCGTAATTATTCCTCTTTTAATTTATGCAAATTTAAAGGGTTATGCATACGACCTCAGTGATGCAATACACAACAACAAAACGTCTCCTCGTGTAGTTTCTAACTCAGAGACATCACTGTTACTGTTAGATCAAGGTACAGTTGCACTTGTTTGACCCAATACTTCACAAAAAAGGACTTTACTTGTCCATGTGCAAGACTTGTCACCCTCAGAAAAATGCATTATTGTGCATCACGATATTATTATATCACAAAAAAAAAATGACCGAAATGACTTGGGAAAATTTCCGGATCCTTGTATGTAAGTATATACAATTTATTTCTTCTTAGCTTATAAAGATATAAAATGCAATTCATTATTATTCATTTTGAATTCAATTATATTGATTTGCTACGTTCAGTTAGAAATGCCATAAACTTTCTCTGGAAAATTGACAGAAAATTCATTTACATACTTCCATAGAATACAAAAAATTGAAAAAGATATTAACAGTGTTCAGATTTAAATTTATTTTGAAACTTAAAAAATATATAATTTTTCTTAAAAGGCCAGATTCATGTTTTTGCTGAAACTAAAGAAGAAGATGTATACACTATACTGGAAAGAAGGCTGTGGGATGATCCAACTGTTGTAAGTTAACCATTCACTTCTCTTTGAAATTACTGATACATACTCAATCGTAAATGTTTCTAGTCTTCTGTTTAATATTCTGTTTAATATTTGAATTAGAAACAAAAATCTGGTCATGATCCTGCATCAGACTGTTGAGAAATTACATGTCAATCTTTGTGGTCAAGGGGTAGCATGCTTGCCTCTGGTGTCGGAGGTTGTGGGTTTCGATCCTAGGTCATGTAAAAAAAAAAAAAATTGAAAACTGGTATTTGCTGCTAAGCATAGCTCATTTAAGCTTATGAGAAAAACTTAGGTGGCTAGGAATAAAAGTGCAATAATTTTACTATTTTATATGAAAAAGAGTGTTAGAAGGCAAATAGAATGAATTCAATTCAAATACTTAGTGTAATATTGAAATTAATATCACTTTTCGTATTTTGTTAATGTGTGCTTCAAGAAAGTCTAGGTCAATGCTTGTGACGTGAAGGTACATTCTTGCATAAGAAATGAGCTCTGGTCTAAAAGATGACAAAAAAAAATAGGGTTTTTGTTCTTAATTACAATCATCAGAATCCAGAAAATGACACAAAACATATTTTTTTTATTGATATCTACAGTCGAACCTCGTTGTGTCGAACTCAGTTGTGTCGAAAACTCTGATGAGTTGAAGTAATTTCTCGGTCCTGGTAAAATTCCCGTTTGATCAATGCATAATTACCTCTGATGAGTCGAACTCGGTTCATTCGAATAGTCGGTTAAGTCAAGTAAATTTTATAGTCCCGTCGATGTAAAATTCATGTAAATTGACCCAGATGACTTGAAGTTCGAAAGTAAGAATTTTCAAAAGATGCAGACCTAATGATAAAAATTCAAATCGGATGTATTTCTTATGTAACCTAGTCATTTTCCAAAGAGATTAAAGCTGAGTAAACATACTTGTTTGTATAACAGTTAAAATGACATGTTTATGGTGACCGGTAATTAACACCTTTGGTTGATCGTTCAAGCAGATTGTTAGTGTGTTAAAGCATTTTCACAGCTTTCAAAAATTCATGACACTCATAGATACTGCATCTTTAACAGACACTATCAAAGATCTGTCATTCAATGACAATAACATTAAGACATAACTAAAGACAACCATTGAAAAGGGTCTTGACTTGGAACAGGCACATGAGCACATATATTTTCTGAGATCTCAACCCTCTTCCATTTTTTAAATCAATAGTAGAATGTTTATAAATAGACATACAGAAAAATCAATATTATGTTTGCCTGCATTTAAAAAAAAGTAAATTCATTTTTCTTTTAAACAGGACGTAAGATTATCATCAGCCAAAGCTTTGGCAGCATTGGGCATGTTTTCAAAGGCTTGTGAGAAAACTGAAAAGTGAGTGTATTTCTGAAATTAACTTGTTTGTTCTTTCAAAATTTTATGTAAAAGATTTGTGAAATATACCATGTTTTGGAAGCTCTTTAATTTGTAAATATGTAGCACAGAGGAATGAGTGTGAAAAGTAAAATAACAAAAACACTGAACTCTAAGGAAAATTCAAAACAGAAAGTCTCTTATGAAATGGCAAAATCAAAAGCTCAACCACATCAAATGAATGTAAAACATATTCCTGACATGGTACAAGCATTTCCTTATGTAGAAAATGGTAGATTGAACCTGGTTTTGTAGCTAGCTTAACCTCTCACTTGTTTGACAGTCGCATAAAATTCCATTATATTGACAACAATGTGTGAACAAAACAAACAGACATAATAGGTAAAAATGTCAAAAATGGGGGCACAGCAGTCAACATTGTGTATAATCTTAATCACTATAAAAACAAACAAATATGTCAACAGAAAAAACCAAAATGGCATATAGACAAAGCACATAAGCAAAAATGAAAGACAAGAATACAAAAAAGACCATAGCACAATAACACAATGGCTGGATGTATAAGTACAGATCCACGCCAAAAGAATATTACAAAAAATGGACTAAACAGTAAAGTTTTATAATACACAAAGACAAATAAAAGAACACTATAACACGTAATTAAGCAGAAGTAAATGACATTGAATCACTCACTCAATGGGAGATAACAAGGTGCTTCTATCAAGGAAAAAATGTTAATTTACTTGTTTGTTCTTCCTTCAGTCCCTATGTTGTATTTACAACAGATTACTGCTCCTGAACTACATGATAAACAAAAATTTTCATAATAATGCCACTTAGATTTTTTATCTGATTTATTTTTTGGGTTTCCTTAGCAGATCATAGACTTTCCCATTACCTTATGTGCCAGTGGGGACAGGATATCATTTTGTGAGTTTTGCTCACAGTACCTCTATTAGTCTTTATATATATGCTTTTGTCACACAGACAATTAAGAATTTGAATAGAAAACGTAATCTTATAGTTTGACTCCAATGTTATCGACGAAAACTATGCATGTCACATTATCTCTCAAGTATCTTTTCTTTAGAATTTTGTCCTTACAACAGACTGGATAATAAATAAGTACATCATCTTTTACCTACTCCCAAGTCAAAAATATTTATCCATTTTAATAGCTAATCTTTGTTTAATAACAGTACTGTAGCTTTTTTTTTATATAATTCACTGGTTTTTTTTTATAAAAGGAATCTAGAAGATCCAGATGAAGATACAAGGAGCCAAGCAGTAATATCTGTGGTGGGTTTTGTATATCTATTTATAAACTTAATGAAGATTGGGTCACTTTCAATCTTTATATTTTAATGTTTTTGATTTGGAATTCAACATGTATGAAATGTATGCCAACAGGACTGATTGAAAATATCTGTTCATACTAGTAATTCTCTTGTTCAGATGATTTTAGGTTCACGAAGAGAGGCAAATATAACAGATTTAATAAAAAGAACAAATATTGTTTAAAACATTTGAATATTCTTTATATGTAGATTGAATAGTTGTGGTTCTATATTTTGCAGAAACGTAATAGTGAAAAAATGGAGTAGTAACACAAGTCATTACATTATTTGTTTATCCCCTCTAGGGAAAGCATGAGCTGATAAAATTTGTATATGGGTTTATATTTTGAATTGTATTTTTCAGGGTACGCTTGGAATGAAAAATGAGAGAATTATAAGAATCCTGTTAGAAATGTTAGAATTAGATTCCAGTGACTATGTTAGATTAATGGTAAGAGATTTGTAGATGCTTAAAGGATAGAGGTAAATGTCAGTTGCTGATTTTACCATGTAGCAGGATACTTGATTCAAATTTGCAATAACTGGAAATTTGTATGCCCCTGCCGTAGCGGAGGGGGCATTAAGTTTTACCCTTGTCCGTCCGTCCGTACGTACGTCCCAAAATTGGTTTCCGTTCTCTAACTTTAGTTTGCCTCAACCAAATGTTATGAAACTTATACACAATGCTTATTACCACAAAACACAGATCAAGTTTGAATTTTGGTGGCGTCACTTTAACCGTTCTAGAGTTATGCCCCTTTACAAATGGAAAATTGCTGAATTTATCGTTTCCGTTCTCTAACTTTAGTTTGCCTCAACCAAATGTTATGAAACTTATATACAATGCTTATTACCACAAAACACAGATCAAGGTTGGATTTTGGTGGCGTCACTTTAATTGTTCTAGAGTTATGCCCTTTAGAAATGGAAAAATTGCAAAATTTTTATTTTCTTCTAAATATCAAGTAATTTTTTAAATTGGAGTTATCTTCCTTTGTCCATGATTATAGTTGAATCAACTACAATCAATGCTTTATGCAATGCAATGTTTAATTTTGACTTCCACTGATAAAACACAGATCAAGTTGAATTTCGTCACTTTAACCGTTCTTCAGTTATGTCCCTTTATAACTATATGATATGCAAGCGGGGGCATCATCTGTGTCCACATGTGGACACTATCCACATTTTTTTTTTTTATTTTACCTCAAACAGGCCCTACTCTATGAGTAAGTATAACACTCATAATCTTTTGTATGAGGTAAACATTTCTTAAATGTAAAAATTAAAATAAATGAAATATTAAGGTTCATCATGATACCACTTCAGAAAACATGACTGTTTTTATACCATAAATTTAACTGTAGATGTAGATATACCAGTGCAACTTGCAAAGTTTCAAAGTAGGACAGGACCTAAATATGTAAATTGCAAAGGTTATGTGTACTCAGTTGTGGTGTAAATTCACCTTTTTGCCAGTGTTATGACGAGCTTTAACTTTCAAATTCTGATTAATTTATCAGTAGTTTTTGGTTCTAACATATTGAGGTGCTGTATTGATCTTCATATTTCATCAATAAAATTGAGAATGGGAAATGGGGAATGTAGTTTTTTGGAATGAAAAGGCTCATTAAAGAAAATTTGTAGATCATAAATGATTATTACTTTGTTTTTAATTTCAGGTTGTGAGGACATTTGTGACATTAAAATTAACTGACAAAAGAGTTATGAGAGCTTTAAGAGAAAGAGAAAGGGCCGAAGGACCATTGTCAAGGTAATACAAAATATTTCAATAATTGACTCCTGAAAAAAAACACCTCCTTTTTTAGTCAAAGCTAAACAATAGGCTGCCTTTTTCAATATTAAAATCTATAGTTAACATCAATCACATAGAAAAATAAGAAAATGTGGTATGAATGCCAACAAAACAACTATCCACCAGAGACTAAATAACGAGGATTTTAGTACATATATGTAACAATACGTCCTTCAACAATGAGAACATTTTTTCCATATAGTAAGCTACAAAAGGCCTTGATATAACAAAATCTTAAACAATTCAAATGCGAAAACCAACTGCCTGATTTATGTAAAAACAATAATCGAAAAAAAAATATGACTGACCTCAGCCAACCAACTGAATTATAGGCTCCTGATGACATGGGCTAGACACATACAGAATGTGGCAGTTTAAAACATGTTTGCTTACACCCAACCCTCCCCTTACCTGGTATAGTTGTGTTACAGCTTATACTCAGCTATGATAATATTGAGATTTAAAAAAAAATTTAAAGTCACTATTTAAATAAATCATAAAAAATCTCTCATCCCATAATACTGGTTGAAGATGAGGAACCAGATTGTGGCATTTTATGCATAACATTATTTTAGAATGATTTTGAAAGGTAGGTTGAGAGCTGGTGTATTTTTGTGGTGGATATGGGAAAATTTACCTTTTCAGTCATGATGAATGTTCCATTTTCCCCACTCAAAGTACACACAAATGTTATATGACAACAAGGCTACCAAATGGATCGATTTAAATATCAAGTACCGTAATTGGGCTTGTATAGTTCGCACTGGTACATAGTCCGTACCCCCTTCTCCCCACGAAATTTTAGGTAAAAAAACTTTTTGTAACTGTTAGAAAAGGTCTAATGAAACTCCGGTAATTTTAAATCGTGTGTGGTCGTTTGTGGTATTTTCTTGGAAAAACCTATTTTCCATCACCAAACAGAAGCTGAAACTGCTTGTAAATGGTTCTAAATCACTTCACGATTGTTAAAATAAGTAAAAATCACACAAAAAACAATTTAGAAACTTGTGTATGTTTAAACCGGAAGTTTGAAAAGCACGTGTAAAAGATGAAAAAACCCTGTGAGAGTCGAAATCGGTACATAATAGATATCACTATAATGCGACTTTGAAAGTAAAACATTTCCCTCCTTATGTAAAACAGTGTTTAATATATCTATCACATTAATGTTTGAAGGGTCTTAAGCTAATACAAAACATATTTGTCAATAGGAAACACCAAAACGGAACGAATAATAACCAATTTGATTTGTAGTTTACACATCGTAAGCTGGTTTACGGTTGTCTTTTTTTACTTTTTTTGTATGATTTCATTCAAGCAGATACCAGTTTGTATTTAGCAATGCATTGAAAAGAAACGAGAATTTTGTAATGAAGCATTTAATTTTATATTTATCAGTATTAATTTGATATTGAATAAAAATAACTTATTAATATGGATTGAGTAAAATTATTGGTTTGAAAAATGATAAGAGCGTCCTCTACAATGTCAATAACAAACATGGCGGAACGTAAACAAACCACATCGCGAAATTGAAATTTTCTCTTATTTCTTGCTTATTGTACTCTATAGTCCGCACCCCTGCTGTCAGGGTCAATTTTGGAGAATAAAACCGCGGACTATACAAGCCTTTTAACGGTATACAAAAAAAGGTTGTTTTTACACTTGAGTAATTTTTTTCCAACTATTCATTTCAACAGTATCTTAAAAATACTGATTATAAAATGATGAAAATATGAGTAAAAAAGATATACTTTTTTGTTTTCAGAGAATCAAAGAAAGCAATAAAAGCACTAGAGTCCTTAGTATCGTTAGGCAGTCCAGTGCTAGGTAGAAAGTCATACACACCATCCAGAAGGGCTGGTAGTTCACAAGGACAAAGTAGACTTGTACAGAGTGTGGCATAAAATTTCAATCTATTTGTAATGTTGAAAATTGTACTTTTAAGAGCATCATGACTAATAATCAATTCTTTTTAAGAGTATCATTAGTTAACAATTCTTGACAACAAATTTCTGTAAACCAATAACTTAAATATTTAGAAAAGCTATGGATACAAATAGGGATAATCTATGCTGTCTTTTGCTATCGGTGTCCACATTGTCCCTTTATAACATTACGCTTATCTGTAACTCTTTGTGATGGGCTTGAAAGATATCAACCAAACTTGAGCAGATTCTTCTGCAGGACACAGGGTTATGCTCCTATTATTTTAAGCCAATATGATGTTTGAACCATTAGTATGAGTTTTTTACAGCATGTCATCTTACAGTATTGTTAACCAAATATCTTTTTAAAATCTTAATGTACTTAAATTCTAATATACAAACTGAGGTAAATGAAAACATATTTCTGTGATAAATATTATTTATACATGTGTTGATATGCTTTTATGTAGAAGATCTCATCTTTCAATGTTTACTGGCCATTGTAATCTTTATTTCAGGAAAAAACGCTTAACTCTTTCTGTCAGTTGTTTATGCAGATTTTCAGTATCTGCATAGACAGTTAATCCAAATCTTGAACTGATTCTTTTGTCAATCTCCACATTTTAAACTGTGTTTACCTTTGTTCATCAAATGTTTTAATTGACTAGCCATTTGATATACAAGACAGAGGAAAAAATATGAATGAAGAAAATTGGCAACAAGTAAAAAGAATAGATAACATGTTATTACTTGAATGCAAATTTTCTGGACCAATATTATAAAATTAATTGTGACTGTGGTATTTATATCAATTCATTCGATTTTCATCAGGAACAAAGATGACATTTTTTGCTGAAAGTTGAAAAAGATGAGACTTTTAAAATTGTTTAAGATGAATTTATATTTTTACAAAGCTTTTGCTGTGATATTTGTGGTCAGTGCATTTAAATATTTTATATGTTTATGTAATGAATAATTTGTATGTAAAATAATAAAAGAAACAAAGAAAAGAACAGGAATTGTTATTTTTATTGGGAATAGTGGTTTTGATTGATTTTTTTCTCAGTTCCTTTGGAATGTAAACTAAATGTACAAAGCAGAGACAAAGCAGTCTGAACTTGTCACATACTAAAGTTTAAACTTTGAATAGGAACAGATGATGCATATGAACCAGCATGTTAAAAATGGATTTTGAATCCTTATGAGAAATACAATGGATGCAACAACTTCTTACTTTTCCAGAGCACCTTATTTCAACTTTGTTGTGAGGTTCATCTTTATAAAAGATATGTGTCCTACAACGCATCGTTGAAAAATGATAGAGCGCAAATTCAACACTGAAAAGATATTTGCATGATAACATAACCTTTCTCTTTGTCACTAATTATGGTGTGAAGATCACTTTGAGAAATTGTGACATTTATTCCTAAGCCTTTCTGCTTTTTTTGTTTGTTTGCCCATTGTCAGCAATAATCCACTGTATTTTCATTACATTTCCAAATTTATGAGAAAATGGAATAGATACAAATGTCACGAAGAGGAATTTATGGAGACATTTTGTTGTCGATTTTTATGGAAGTCTCAAAGTGGCAACTAAATATTCAAAATCTGCAAATCATATTGATACAAGATCTTATCTAACTCTATATCCAATTAAATGAAGATTGAAAGACCAGTAAGGTATATCATATGCCCTATGCTCTTCCTTAATATTCGTCTATTTCTTATATTGAAAAATAGAACAAGTTTGGTAAGCAGTTCCTGCTCCATTCGATGCACTCGTCGTGTTACTCATTGCAAGTAAACTTGGTGGAACATATCCCTGGGCATATGTGATAGATACTGTAAATTCAGAAATTATTGCGATGTTTTTATTATTGCGAAAAATGCGACAGGGTTATAATCGCAATAATTTAAACTCGCATTTTGAAATTTTTAATATGAATTAAATAGGATTTTCCTCAATATCGCAAAAATTAAAATCGCATTTTAGTCTAAAATGACAAAATCGCAATAATAAATGCACGCAATAATTTCTGAATTTACAGTATTACATAATGGACTAACCCAAATCTTGACAACATCCATATAATCTTTATATTGATGACTTTAACTTTGCTGTTCTGGGCCCTTGTTTTGATAAAGCTTCAGTGTGAGTAACAAACATCTAGCAAAGAAATCACGATGGGTAACATAATACCTGGTATATTATATCAATTGGGGTTATATACTCCATATGAAGGTGCAGCTGTTATGTTGCTGAACAGAAATGGAAAGTTCACAACTAGAAAATAGAAATCTCTTTTAGCATGAAATTTATTTCTCCTAACAACATATGATCACTATAGCCATGTTATTACAGGGAACCTCAATATTGTTTCAAGACTGAGAGGTTAAACATATACATATGCAAAAGTCATGGTTTTACAATCTGTAAGAAACCTGTATCTTGGCATTGCACAAGGTCATAGTTTTTCTCTGACTGTTAATAACGTCTTCACTAGATCCATTGGATGTTGGATGTGTACCGATTGATATTTTAGTCTCAGATACACTAGTTTTTAGTCCCCCAGGGACAAAATGTTGGGGTCATATTAATTTACCCCTGTCCGTCTGTTCGCCAGTCTGTCCGTCAGTTTGTCCGTTCTGATATAGATACATGGTTTGTCCGACTATCTCTTCCTACATTTTTTCAGCTACAGCTGTAGGTTGTTTGTATACATAATAGAGGTGTGGATGTCCACAGGATTTAGAATTTTTTCAAATTTTCTCAAAATGCCAGGTATTTGGTCATTTTTTTTGTACTTCAAGTCAGAAAGGGGGACGTTAGATATTCACAAAAAACAGTAGTTGGACTTCATTTCCTTCTCACTTGCTATATAATTGAAGATTTTTTAGTATTGTCAAATATTTAATCAATTCCGGGAAGTTGAATTTGGTGATTACTAAAACTGAAAAGTTTAAACCTTTTGGCTAAACATTCAGTCCTGCAAATGTAGACATTCAGAACAAAAATAAAAGATAGTTCATCATACATAGTGTTAAATTTAAAATTTCTTATGGTGAGGCGGGGGGCATCATTTGTGTACAGACAGCCCTACAATTTTAAGTTGTACTCTTAACATCACTTTTTGTCAAATCTAAAGTATGTGAAAATGCATGTATGCCTCAAGTTGTACTCTTATCATCACTGTTTGCCAAATCTAAAGTATTAGGAAATACATGTATACTCATGCATATGGCAGAGTAGGGGAGGGGGGGCATCGTCCATATCTAGTTTAGTAGTTGCTCTTGGCTCTTAAGTAGCTCTCAGTAACTGAAGAGTATTCTCAGATCTGTACTCAGTGTAGTATTTTGTTGTGGAGATGTATAAATATCCTACCATGTCAGGTCTGTGTTTTTGTAAGATGTTTATTTGCTTGTATCTATCTGATGTGTTAAGACCTTTTCAAGTGATTTTTATAGTTTGTTCTTATGTTGTACTGTTACACCACTGTCCCAGGTTAGGGGGAGGATTTGGCACAAGCAAACATTTAACCCTGCCACATTCTGTATGTGCCTGTCCCAAGAAAGGAGCCTGTAATTTAGTGGATGACATTAGTTGCTGTATATCATATTTGTTTTTCATTCATTCTTTTGTACTTAAATCAGGCTATTATTTTTTTCATTTGAATAGACCACTTTTGAGTTATGTCCTTCAACGGAAAAGTTTGTCAATTATGCATGCCTTTATGACGTCATTTACCAGATAGAGGGGACCGCCTGTATCCATGCACTATTAAAGTTCATCCAGTGTCTTCGTGATTGTCATTATATGCAGGGCTTAAATCTAGAAATAATGTTTGTTCTGTAGGTACTTAATCACAATTCCCTAATGACAGCAGTGCTGATTATCAATTATAAGAATTTAATTTGCCGAAAAATTCATGTATTAAAGCTTCATATTTTTTCAACCGGTCGCTCAACATGGGAAGGAAGTGATGATGCCCCTAAATGCACAAATGATGTTCACTAAAAAAACATAGTTTTTGACATAATATAACGAACTCAAAAGTGGTCTATTGTTTTACATTGGTCTTTTCTGGTCCTTTTATAGCTGACTATGCGGTATGGGTTTTGCTCATTGTTGAAAGCTGTACGGTGACCTCTAGTTGTTAATTCTGTGTCATTTGGTTAATGGTGGAGTGTTTTCTCATTGGCAATTAAACCACATCTTCTTATTTTCATATTAATTTGTTTTAATGTACAGAAAGTGGAGTCTAACAAAACCAACTAACCAAAGATTTCATAAAAAAACTGTTAACACAGAGAAATGTCTTTCCTTTTTGTTATTTTGATAGTAAAATGCAAATGTTGAAATTAAAATAGCAATACTATAACATGCAAGTTATACAAAATATTCAAAGTCAATGAACCATGACTGAAGGCAAAGGGCAAAACAAATCCATGAAAATGAGATGTTCCAATGCTAATACATATATGCATACCAAATATCACTAACCTACAACTAGTGGTTCCCCATAAACAGACCTAATCACAAACTAATACATGTTAACTAAGCTAAAGTTTCAAGTCAATAGACCACCACTGAGAAGGCAGGGCCACTATAACAATCTCCATGGAAATGAGATGAGCCAATGCTAATACAACTGAATAACAAATATCAGAGACCTACCACTTGTGGTTACCTATAAACTGACCTCATCACAAACTCATACATGTAAACTAAGCAAAAGTTTCAAAGTCAATAGACCAAGACTGAGAGGGTGGGGCCAAATAATCAACATAGAAATGAGATGTGCCAATGCTTATATAACTGCATACCAAATATCATTGACCTACCACTATTGGTTCCCCATAAACTGACCTTATCACAAACTAATACATGTAAACTATTCCAAAGGATAAAAATCAATAGACCATGACTGAGGGGTAGGGCCAAATTATCTCCATGCAAATGAGATGTGCCAATGCTAATACAACTGCATACCAAATATCATTTACTTTTCATAAGTCGTTCCATCTAAACAAACCTAAACACAAACAATAACTTGTAAACTATGTATAAGTTTCAAAGTCAATGAACCATAATAAAGGGGTGGGGTTATATAATCTCCATGGAAATGAAACAATACATTTGCATACCAATTATCATTGACTTAACATTAGTGGTTCATCTTAAACTGACCTAATCACAAACTAATACATAACAAGAATGTGTCCATAGTACACAGATGCCCCACACACACTAGCATTTTCTATGTTCAGCAGACCATGAAATTGGGGTCAAAACTCTTAATTTGGCATTAAAATTAGAAGGATCATATCATAAGGAACATGTGTACTAAGTTTCAAGTTGATTGTACTTCAACTTCATCAAAAACTACCTTGACCAAAAACTTAACCTGAAGCGGGACAGAGGGACAAACGGACGGACAGACAAACGGACGCACAGACTGAAAAACATAATGCCCCTAGGTGGGGCATAAAATCTAAGCAAAAGTTTCAAAGTCAATAGACCATGACTGAGATGGAAGGGCCAAATAATCTCCATGGAAATGAGATATGCCAATGCTTATACAACTGCATACCAAATATCATTGACCTACCACTAACAGTTCCCCTTAAACTGACCTAATCACAAACTAATACATGTTAACTAAGCAAAAGTTTCAAAGTCAATAGACCATGACTGAGGAGCGGGCCAAATAATCTCTATGGAAATGAGATGTGCCAATGCTAATACAACTGCATACCAAATATCATTGACCTACCACTAGTGGTTCACCATAAACTAGACCTAATCACAAACTAATACGTTGTTGACGCCGCCACTGACGCCGGAAACATCATACCTTTGTCTCTATTTTTGACTCCGTCAAGGCGAGACAAAAATTCATTTCACAAAGCACTTGTAAGACTTACACTTACATAACTAAAAAGTATATGTTAACTGATGAAAGTCTTATGGGTACATAGTGAAACAATACGGCATACCTTTGGGACCCTTCAA